TGACAAATTAATCCTTTTCTAAGAAATTAACGTACTAAACTGGTTTAATTTATTTATAAGAAGCACTAATTTGTTTGTTTTACTGTTAATGTTTAGTATTTTTCATTAAATTATTGTAAAATTAAATATGAATAATAAAACAAAAGTGAGGTTAGGCAACCAAGAAAACGCACGATTCTTTTTCTACGATTTAAATTATCTTTAAGTTTTAATTTGCTTTAAGTTTTCAGAGAAATTAAATGTTAAACACAGCTTAAACATTCCAAACTACCTATTTTTTAAATAAAAATCCAGACAAATTGAAATTAGATACCTACCTATTTATTAAACAATTAATTGAATTCAATGTAATAGCAAAAATCCATTTCTACTTAAATCATGTTGCTAGGTATTGTCAAACTAATACTGCTTCTGAAAGCAATAATAATTATTGTACATTTAATGCAATCTTTAGCTAATAAATAAATGAGATTCTTAAAAAGTGAGGTTAGGCCGCTTTGATGTTAAATTAAATTGACCTATATAAAGTGCTTAGAGATAAAATGTTGTATGCCCTTCAGCCAAGAAGTGGCTTTTTGTGCTTCGCTCAAACCTTGAGATTAGCACAAAAAGCCTTACTTCTTAACCTAATGACATAAATAACTATTATACACCCTGTATATTCTCTAAAAAGTGTTTAAGGGTAGATGTCCCAATACGAGTTAATTAATTGAACATAATTTCTGAAATGACTAAAATACCAACAAAATAATATAAAACTTTAGACCTAAAAAATATACGAGGTGTGTTCAGAAAATAACGGGAATTGTTAAATTTCGCGGGTTTGGAGGGTCCGGTTGTCATAAAAATTTCCTTATTATGTTGGTATATATGCCCCCGAAGTATGATAAAAACTGTAGCTGTTTTCATTGTTTACTTTGTCTGTGGCAGCCGCTAAGGTTAGACGTGTTTTATGAGCTCGGCGATTTTTCGTTCGTTAAAAGAAATGGATCAACGAATTTGTATCCAATTTTGCTTAAAAAATGAAATAAATTCTGTGAAATGTTAACAAAGGCCTATAGTGAGTCTGCTATAAGTAAAACAAGAGTTTACAAGTGGTATAAGAGTTTCTAAGATGGCCGTGAAGACGTTGAAGATGACGAACGCCCCGAACGCACAAGCGCATTAACAACTGGAAAACATGGAAAAAGTGAAAGAAATGGTTATAAACCATCAGAGAAGTCGCTGATGTTGGTATATTGATTGGCTCATCCCATGAAATTTTTTCAAATGTTTTGGGTATAAAACGCGTGGCAGCAAAATTTGTTCTAAAATTGTTAAATTTTGAAAAACATTTTTGGCCAAAACAATACTGTAATGATGCCCCAGCCTCCATATACACCAGTCATGCCTCTGTCTGACTTTTTCCTATTCCCAAAAATAAAGAGAACCTTAAAGGGCCGTCGTTTTGCAAGCATAGATGACATTAAAAGCGCATCGCTGAAAGAACTAAAGGCTATCCCAAAGATCGAGTTTTAGAAGTGTTTCGAGTATTGAAAGAAGAGCTGGCAATTTCAAATAGTTCCCCAGAAACTTCTAATGGACCACAAATGTGAAACACCCTGTATGTCAATAAAATTAATCACAAAAAAATAATTTGCTTAAATAGTTGAATCGATTTGAATAAAACGTATTAAAAAAATGTCCATTAAACGTATCTGGATAAAAGCGGTTTTTGCGAATAAATTAAAAATAAACTGGTGAAAACAAACAAAGGGAAATCACGTTCTGAGAATTTGGCGACTCAAACATTTAAACTTAATGTAATGCAGTATCTACAGCGAGGAATTTGCTAAATCATATGGAATTTTTTTCAGACCTATTTATAAGTTAATTGATAAAGCCATCAATTGTAAAATTGTTTAATAAAAGTTGAAATAAGTTTTGTTAATTATGTTTTTTTTCAATTGTTCAATTGTTCAATTGTTGAAAATTGCATTATTTAGGCCGTTATTTAAGGATGTTGACTTCCAAATAGAATTATGGAATTTACAGGATAATTAGCCCCTACCTTAATGTTTAAAAGCCTGGTAGTTTGGTTTTGTTATTTTCATCTTTGAAGCTTATACAGTAGCTTTAAAAGGATAAAAATATTGAAATATTAAAAAGTCGCATTATTTCATCCATTTTATAAGTATGTTGACTTCAATATAGAAATATGAAATTAACAGGATATTTAGTCCTTACCTTGAAGTTTAAATGCCAATTTAACTTGTTTTGATATTTTCATCTATTTTGCTTTAAAAGGAGCAAACATATTGAAATTTAAAAAACGATTATTGTTTAATTTTTTATTCTAAGAATGTGTTGACTTCAAGATAGAAACATGAAACTTACAGGATATTTAGTCCTTACTATGATGTTTGGCTTACGCATGCCTATGCATATTTATGTAGGTACTACATATAACTAATGCGATTTTTTTAAATTTTATTATTTTTTTGCTGTTTTTAAAGCATCTGTACAATCACAAAAAAATAAAAAAAAGCAAAATGAGCTATACAAGCTTTTAAACTTTGTGATAAGGACTAAATTTCCTGTAAGTTTTATATTTCTATGTAGAAGTTAACATTTATATGATTTAAGGATAAAATAATGCGTTTTTTAATTTTCCATGTGTTAGCCTTTTTTAAAGCCCATGTATAAGCAAAATGGATGAAAATATCAAAACAAGTCAAACAGGCATTTCATTTTCAAGGTAAGGACTAAACATCCTGTTAATGTCATATTAGTTAACGAACCAAGTTTTTGGCGAAATTGTGAAAATTTCGAATAACAAATTATACCATAGGTTTTGTAATTTTTAATCAAAAGTTACGCAACAACAGACTTCTAATTGCATTAGACTGGAGCGAAGTAAAAATAACAGACGCACAGACAAAAATAGCGAAGAATAAAAATGATAAAGGCCAAATCAATTATTTTGGACTTAGGCATTATCTCATCGCTGAAACCCGCTGGTTGCGTCTAAATGAAGCCCCTGAAATTCTGAGCCAATTAAACAATGCCAAGCGCTGAAACTGAAAAGCCTGTTTCGCTGAAAATGTCTCTCAACAACGTCTGACAACGAAATCCCTTCACCAAATGAAATGTCGTAAGGTTGAAAAAATATATTAAAACGATGCAAAAAAGAATTTTATAAAATTAGATTTCGATAAAAAAGAGCACTACAGTCTAAAACCTATCCTCCGTGAATATTACTCTTTCTAAGTTAACCTATATGTTTTCAAATATCTGAGGTAGTAAAAGCACACTAAAAATATCAGTTCACTAAGTAAATTAAACAAATCCAAAGCAATCGAATCAAATATAAAATATTATTAAAAATTAAAAGAAATAATTTTTATAACCATTTATGTAGGTGTTACAAAAATTCATTCTATCCTCCGTGAATCTGTTTTTGCTTTAAATGTTATGCAACGGATGGCGCTTTAATCATTTTAAATAAGCAAAAACCTCTGTTTCGACATTATAGATGCATGTGATTCCTGAAGGTCAGTTAGAATTTATATGCAGATGAGAGTGTTGCTGTTTTATAATTCAAAAGTTTGAGTTTATTAATTTACTATTTAAAAACCTATCCACCGTGAAGTGTAATATCTCAGTAAGTAGATTTTTTTATAAATATTTTATTTATGTACAATTGTATTTTTAAAAAATATTAAGGTGTCAAAATAAATTCTCAAATTATAGTTAAATAGTTTTCTATCGCTTGACAGTTTTCCGTTGATTTTCTCATTTTACATGGAACAGGATATTAATTTTCTTAAGTGTCCTTTTATATGAAATTAACTAAAGTCATTGGTCTTTGTTATTTCCCAAACTGACTGATTAATTTTCAATTAATACCAAGCCAATTTATATGGTAATTTTTGGCCCAATTAATCGCAGTTGCTCTTAAAATTGTCTAACAAAAAATAAACAAAATGTAATAAATACTAAAACTGTTTAAACAAGAAGTACTTTAATCGTTTACTGTAAAATATTGCACAGAAAAAATGTAAAAATGGGGTAGTTAAATTTTTTCTGACCTATACTTTTTATGGTTTTATTCAAGGCGTTTTGTAATATTAAACATTTCTGTGAAATCAGAATTTCAATTAAGTTTACCGTTTTCGAGATATTTACAAAAAATATAAATTTTTATGACGTCACAAACCTCGCCATGTGACCAACATTCTAAGATTTCTATTGGTTGAAAATTACCCTGTTGTCAAGTTGTCTTGTTAATGATTTCATTCGGTTATGTCAGAAAATACCCGAAGAGGTTATGTACAAATACTGTCACTGTCAGTTGAGTGAAAGATGTCACCAAATTCATTAAGTACCTATCTTCCTTATTACGAGCTATCATATTACTGTTTGATATTTTAGAGTCCAAGATATATCTAAAAGAATATAAAGAACTAGGCATTATACTAATGAAATGCATTTACGACAAAATATGATTATAATTATAGGTTCTTACTTTATTTGTTTAAAAGCTCCAATGTTCAATGTAACCAACCATTCCACAAGATTCCTCTGCTTTGGAGTCCGTTATTAATAAGTCACTTATCTAATATCAATTACAAATAACATAACAATAACATTGATTTTCAATAATCTAAATTTAAAAACACATAACCCGAAAAAAAGAAACGTCAAAAAATCAATTCTTCTTCTTCTTCTCAACTAAAATTATAGATGAAGTGGTTTTAAAACTAAAATATTATAACGTGGCGCCATATATTGTAAGAATCTTAAACTAAACACACTGACAACCATAGAAAAAGCTGGCAACGTTGTCAATACCCCAGTGACGTAATTAGGAGATTTTTTTTGTAAATATCTCGAAAACGGTAAACTCAATTGAAATTCCGATTTTACAGAAATGTTTAAAATTACAAAACGCCTTGAATAAAACCATAAAAAGTATAGGTCAGAAAAAATTTAACTACCCCATTCTGTACAATTGAAAAGTTCATTCTGCTTGTATTTCGCGCAGGACAAAGCAGCGTAAAATCCTGGCTACGAATCCTTACAACATCAAACAAGTGGTCGTCCTTACGGTGAAAACAATGAGCACTGTTTTCAGGACTAAATAATATTTTCCAAAGGAAGAATAAGAACGCTATATAAACCACAATGGCTGAAAAATTGTACGAATACCAAGGGTGTGCGGGAAGGTTTCATACTTTCAGAGACAATCTAAGAGAGAAGTATACTTTTTGGAAGGAGAATAATCCTGGAGGAGTCAAGGAGTATTTAAAAAAGTGTTTTATCAGTGATAATGTGGGGAATCAGAATGTTACATATGAAGATTATTCGCATATATACAGGTATGTTAAAATTATAAAAATTAATTTCTAATATTGTAAATTGTTTACGCAAATGTATATATACAAGCTTTTAACAGTAATAAGTTTCTGTTTTTATTCATTATACTAAGTATAGTTGTTTATAAATAACTCAAAAATGATTAATTTTATTTATGATTGTTTTATATTAAAAATATCGACGTTATATTTGTTAAATAATGCTATTAAAATAACTATATGGCTTCTTTTTATAGATGGATTATATTAATAACGATTTTTAAGCAGCACTAGAAACTTTATAACTATATAGTTATTAGTGTTTAATAAAATATCATATATTATAGCCGAGACTGCAGTTCTAAGCAAGGCATTATAGTATATTATGTATCAAGTTTGATAAACGCCATTAAAATAAATTAAATTAATGAGTGTATAGAAAAGTTTATAAACGAGGTGCATACTATACTTTTTCTACGACAAATACTTATTATTACGTTAAAATGATTTAAATTAAAAATTTGTACAGAGCGCCATCTATGAAACAATAGGGGAATCTGTGTGTCACCGTCAAATGTCAAATTTTGTTATTTTATAAACACAGATTATAAAGGTTATAAATCAAAATGTATTTCTTGAAAATTGACAGTTTTTCACAGTGAAGGTCAGTACAATGTTCATATAAACTTTTCAAATATTGGCGTTGAGAAATTATTTCATACTTTTATAATTTTGTATTGAGATAATAAAATAATGTTCATATTTGGTATTATTTTACAAAAAAGGCACTTTATTTTAACGATTGTATGACATTTGACTGTCAACTAACTTAAAACTAACTTCAGCCCGTGACTTAAAACCTGTTGCTAACTTCAGCCCGTGACTAAAGCGTCATAAAGCCACAACCTGTCAATGTGTATTTAAAGGGTCACTTAGTGTCATGGAAACATGTACGATAAAGGACGTTTAAAGGTGGGAGTAGAAAAAATATGCTTTTTTGCAGTATACTATTTTTTTAAGCGTTATAAATTTTGTACTTTCATTGGAATTCTTGGGTTTGCAACATTTTATCATAGGTACATAGATAATGTTGACGTTTGCCATTATACAGGGTGTCTCATGTATATTTGAATTTAAACAATTATCAAATTTTGGGTAAAAAGCAATTTTGTTTTATTAAAAACCATTATTTTTAAAGCGAAAATTGAACAAATGTGAGTTTTGTGTGATAATGAAGCCTAAAAAAATAATTAAAAAAATATGGACTTTCTTCAACTTAGAAGAGAACTATAGAAGAGTTAAGAAAGTTAAAAATCATTAATTATCTACAAACCTTAAAAACAGTCCCTTGGCATTTAATTAATTTGGTAACCTATAGATGTTTTATCACAGAACAGATGCGTTTTATAAAAATATGCAGGTCTGCAACTTAAATCAGAACATAAGATCGGCGGAAATTTTTTTTAGGTTAGGTATTTAAAAAATAACAAGTTAGTTAAATTTATCTAATTTTGGTAATTATGAACTACATGTGTTACATTAACCAAATTTAAACCAAAATCAAAGAGTTATAAATTTCCGATAGATAAATAAAGTAGTTAAATTAAACACGATAAAATATCCAAATGGTTTAAATAAACTTGCAGGTTAATTTATATTGGTTAAATAGCCATATTGTTGGCTGTTCATTCTAACAAAAGAAAATGCAATTAATTTGAATAATTTGTTTTACACCAAAAATAATGATAAACTTTTATTTTGTTATACAGGGTACGCAAAAAAATAAAATTGTGCATTTTGCAGAATTAAAATGATATGTTAAATATTTTTTAAGGTCTTATATGAAGAGCTTGCAAGGAGAAACCAAAAAGCCAAATAAAATTTTTTTATGTGAGTTGTTACTAAGATACATATTTGTTATTAAAAATAAAATCATAAAAAAACTCATATAAAAAAACTTCATTTCACGTTTTGATTTTTCCTTACCAGCTCTTTATACTAGCGCTTCAAATAAAAAATATTTAAAAATATTTAATTTTGAAAATCGGTATTTTTATAACAAGCAAAATAAATTATGAAAAATGACTTTTTACAAGTATAGTTAAGTCCATCCTTGGACACACTATATAGATATACATAACCATATTTGGTAAATTATATTTATATAGAGTAATAAAAAAAGGGTAAAATAAACTAAAAACTACCATATTTTTAACCAAAAGGTACTGGGTAATGTCGCCCCCCTTTAACTATTTTATTTTAAGTGTCTCAAAAAGTTTAAAAGTGAGGTTATGTATGTACTAAACATTTTTTTTCTACGTATAAAGAAAATTGGAAAATTCATCAGTATACAGGGAAAAACAAAAAGTTTATTTTTTTTCAATGGATCACCCTATATATGAATTTATTTTTCGATTCCTGGTACCTACCTAAATTCAACCGTTTCTGAAATATTTAAATTATTTTTAAGTTGAAGTTGAAATAGTTTGTCTTTCTCTGTCTGAGTACGCCTTTTTTACTTTTTTAACAAGACATATTGACATAATGTCACTATAGTAATTTATTTTCAATAAAAATTTTGGTATACTGAGGCTTCTTGATTTCTAACAGTTTAAAAAAACATTTAATGATAACATTTCGAATGCGAATATTTCAGAAATTTTACAAGAAATCTAAAAATAAATTCATTGGAAAAAAATTAAACTTTTTGTTTTTCCCTGTATATTATTCAATTTTCCATTTTTTTATACATACAAAAAAGTATTTTTTTAGTACCTACATAACCACACTTTTAAACTTATTGGGACACTTAAAATAAAAACCCCTCAATAGCGTTAATGTTTTACATCTGGCAACGTCTTTTGTTAAAATATGTGTCAAAAGTTGCATTTTTAAACTTAAATTCACTAGGTATTTAACATAATATATTGAGTATTTTAGTATTAAAAAATATTTTTCTTACCCAAGAACATTATAACTTCAAACCATTTAAACAACACCAGCTAAAACAATCAACTATGACTACAATAAAAATATTTATACGTTTCAGCTAAAAATACAATACAATCTTTTGTATTGTATGTTTTTAAAACTAAATTAATTTAAATTGAATTAAATTAAATATAAACCCACGTTTGTTAAACTAAACAAATACCATCTAAAATAAATAAGTAAAGTAAATTTTATGGTATATTAAGAAAAAAATACGCCAAAAAGTTGAATAAAGTTCGAAATGTAAATGTAAATTTACATAGCAGTATTGCCACTACAAAATTGCCTGCCATAAAGTGCGAATAGCCCTATAAATCTAAATGTAGTTTAATTTTAAAATCAATTTGTTGGATTTTCTTGGAAGCTTCAACAATATTATAAAGACAATAGATTTTGTTAAATTGTGTTACACTTGCGAAAAAAAATGTGGGTTTAGGGTTGCCAGGTTAGTAGTCAACAATCGGCAGTAAAGTAGAACATTAATGCAGATTTAATACGAGTATTGTATGCAACCCATTATACATTTTAAGATGTGTCTACTGCTCCCTTTCATAAAATGTTTAATAAAAATAATAAGTTAATTTTATTAATTAGATTAAAAAATCACAGTGTTTCAATTCTAGAAAATTTCGGCAAAACCTCAAAAATTGACATTTTTTTTCAGGTAAACTTTGGGTTGGATGGGTAGTTAATACCTGTCTCCATTCTGTATTGAAAAAAAATTATATAAAATACGTATATTTTGTCTTGTACTTGAAGCTTTCAGTTGAAGGTACTTTACACGCGATCGCTGCGAAAAATTGTTTATTATTTAAAAGTGAATAACTTGTGTTTGGTGTGTCCGATTGTTATGCGGTTTGATGAAGGTTGATCTTCAAGGTATCTAAAATTCAGATATGTATTTGTTTTTCGTAGATTTTGCTTGTAAAACGGGTTATTGTAACCGACAAGATCGGTCTGTTAAAATCGCAAACTTTGAATCGAGCTTTTAGAACAATGGAGCTACAAAAATTGTAATGAATTGTAAGGCATCAGTTCAAGATCCGTTAAATAGAGTTTTGTCTATCAAGCCATCAATAAATTAGCTGCCCCAACTTGCCCCCGGCTACATGACCTTGGGCGATCAGGCACGGTTGTGGTAAAAAACCTCGCGATTTTAAGCCTATGTCGAGCGCGTATCTGTGTTTTTGCTTTACAAAATATAAGATTTACTCGATTCACTCGGATTTAACTCAAAACGTTTATGTCTTGACTTTCACTTGCGTAAATCGTTCGTGACTACTAAGATATTTAACACCGATTTTACATATTTAACCCACCTCCTGGAGGTGCGTTAAAACAACTCCGCATGCGCATTGTAGTGTGTTAATGTCAAATTTGAATTGTGGTTATTTGTGTTGACAATTTTTTTAGCGAATTAAGAAATCGTTGCTAAAATATTAAGTAAAATAAATAATACAAATTTAAAATACTTAGTATAAAATCTGTTATATTTAAATTTTATAAATAAATTTTGAAAGTTTCTCGGGAGAAAACGATGGAAAATGTTTTCCATTGGCTTATGGCATCTTCCGATCCGTATATTTCTAGCTTCAGAAAATTTGCTCCGAAAAAGAGCAAATCTTTGTCCCGCGAAGCAATAAAACTGTTGCTATCTTCTGATGGTTTCCCATGCTCTGCTAATGATGCAACGAGCGAATCCAGTGACGGAGATTGTTTAATATATATATACATGTAGGTATTAAATAATATCATAAATATGTAATTATAATAAAATAAATTAAGCTATTTTATAAAAAGATGTTTTATTACATTTTAAAAAGAACCTCTTACGGGTTTTTAATTAGCTTCGACAATATTTGATAAAAATGTCCGCCATTTGAGGTCCACCATTTTGAATTTTGGAATTCTGATTTCAGATTCATTATCAGCGACCACAAAAACCCCTGTATGGTGATTTTCAATTAATTCCGTCAATTTTTTTACAAATATGTCCGCCATTTTGGATCTACTATTTTGAATTTTGGAATTCTGATTCCAGATTCGTTATCAGCGACCCTAAAAACCTCTATATACGAATTTTTAGGAGAATCCGACTACTCCTTGATATTTTGCCGAAAATTTCGAGAATTGCCGCGGCGGACAAATATATAATAACCGTCTCAACAAATAGTATACGTAGACACTTCCTACATTCAAATGACATTTGATTTAATCATTAATATTAATTATAAGTATTATTAAATGTGATTTCAGATAAAATTTAATATGCACCTCGGCATTAAAGTCATTTCTTCATAAATACGACTTTACTGCCTTGATACATAAATAACTATTTTTAGGCGCAAATCAAGAAAAGAACTAATCCGGGTATCAGCTGCAGTTATGGGTATAGAATTCTCATATGCAGCTGAAACAGCTTTCGTATCTCCGACATTGCTGAAAATAGGGGTGCAACATCAACATATGACATTGGTGTGGGCCCTATCCCCCCTCATAGGCTTCTTTTTGACCCCCATACTGGGGTCTTTAAGTGACAGGTGCCCTTTGAAGTTTGGCAGAAGAAGACCTTTTATATTTTGCATGTCTCTGGGGGTGTTGTTGGGTCTCATCTTGGTACCGAATGGGGAAAATTTTGGCTACGCCATGGGTGACGAAATACCCCCCTATATCAATGGTAGTGTTATAGCGTCACATAGAACAAGTGCATCATTGGGAAAAAACATGAACGAAACTTTAGGTCAAGAGTTACCGGAAAAAGTACCAGCATATAACAATTCCCATCCATGGGGTGTATTTTTTACCATTCTTGGGACAGTTTTGCTTGATTTTGATGCTGATGCTTGCCAAAGTCCATCTAGAGCGTATTTGTTGGATGTTACAGTTCCAGGTAAAAAAAATTCTCAACTATTCTCAATATAATCAAATTTTATTTTCAGAGGATCATGCAAAAGGTTTGAGCACCTTCACCATCATGGCAGGTTTGGGAGGTTTCTTTGGTTATGCTCTAGGAGGTATCAACTGGGATGAAACTGCCATTGGTAAAAAAAAAGAGTACAACCAACAAAAAATATGTAAATTACTATATTTTGTATTCTAGGAATTTATCTAGGTGGACATGTAAAAGCAGTTTTTACTCTTATAACCATAATTTTCATAGTCTGTGTGTCTTATACCATAACGAGTTTTAAAGAAATGCCTTTGTATTTATTTGAGCTGAGAGGTGATTTTGACAGTGAAGGTATAGGAAACGCCTACCAAAAATACAAGGATGACGAGACAGAGCAAATAGCTTCAGAGGCATCTTATTACGGGTCTTTGAATCCCAAATCAGAGGAACAAGAAATGGTGAGTTTTTTATAGTTCCAATTACATTTGGTATTGTATAAAGTTTAACCACGTAAAACTAGAGAAAGTCGGTTCAAACCATGTTTCTTAAATATCGAAAACGTTTCATCAATTAATGGTGCAAAACCTTAATGAAATTTAATTGATAACATGGGAATTCTACAAAGTGTCAAAGCATTTTAATGCATACCACTTCAATTAAGTTATAATAGTGATGAAATAAATTACGAAATTACCAATTGATTTAATAGTTTATGTATGGACACATGGTAATAAAACATTTCAGAAAAATTTCCATGATGCTTTTAGGTCTCTTAAACACGGTGGTTAAAACTTAAGTATAGGACGAACAAAAATGCCAACCAAAACTGATAGCATATTTTGATTATAGACCCTTTTGGTAACACTAACATGAATTTATCAAAATCCCAGCTGATCCTATTTTAAAGTTTTGCAAACTTTTTTGTTTTTCTATTTCTATATATTATTTTACAATTATTGTACTACCTGTACAATTTTAATAAAATTACGCAAAATAATAAACTTTTTATCATTTAAATTACTTTACTCCCGAGTATTAATTTATTGAGTCACCTATTATTTTTTACCACTCAAAATAAAACATAACAAAAAAAACGAAGATTTATATCTTAAATATTTTTTATAACAAAAAATACTGGAAGTTTGTCTATGAAATAATTACAATAATTAAGGTGGTTATGAAAAAAATTGCTATACGTTATAACGCAAGTGACATTTTGCTTTAGTTGTTTATTTAATGTATACTTTATAAAGTTAAAAATAGTATTTTAAAATGAAAATTAAACCGAAAATCGAAAGAAGGTATGTGCTGGCTGTGGAGACAAAATTGTTTTTGATAATCGAAAAATTCAGAGTTTAGGGTTTCTGAGAAAATATAAAAATTACTGCAGACTTTTTCAAACGAACACTTTCACTTAAGTGATTCAAAATTACCTACTTCAATATGGTAAAAACGGTATTTTTGCATATCCACAATTGCCAAATTTTCAAAATTTAGAAATTGTTAGAGAATTTTGCGGCAGCCAAGAATGTGTGTGCTATATCTGCAAAATGGCAAGATATACAGGGCATAAAAATTTATTAAGGGAAGAGGACGGACGAACGAACTAAAGTTTTGATATGCTCTTCCTTTCTAGGGGATATCGCTAGATGTAAGAAGCATGTTTGAACAGAGACTGAAGAATTTAAAAATACTGTTTCCATGTTAAAAACAATTCCATGTAAAAACCAAGAAAAAGTTTTACTGAAAATTTAAGGCAAGCAGTAATCGATTTTGCTTCAAAGAATCTTTAGTTATTTATTAGTTTTGTATTAGGTACCTTAAAACAATAAATAAGATATTGAAAACTGTATTTTATAATTAATATTTTGTATTTATAATGTAATTTATCCATATTTCAGTCATGTATCTGCCAAATTTTTAAAAACATTTGATTATGGTACTAGAGTATTTTATCGAAATTGCATAAACAATTTTAAAATACTAAGAAATATGCAAAACTTTATTAAAGGATCAGCTGGGATTTTGATGAATACATTTTTGTGTTACCAAAAGAGTCTATAATCAGATTATGCTTAGCATTTGGTTGGTATTTTTGTTTGTCCTATACTTTAGTTTTGACCACCGTGTAAAAGAGACAGATACTTCACTGAACGCTCAACTAAAGGTTTTTACATCTAGTAGTGAATAGTTGTTTTGAATTATATACTATACATTGTAGAATAACAAAAAACAATAATAAACTGAACAAGTTTGACCTTGAAATAAAATATTTTGAGAAAGTTTATATAAATTTGTTCTATAAAAACTTTATATTTTTATCAAAAGCCTTTTAATAAAAACTATAAGACATCAATTAAAAACTATTTTTTAGGATGTTAAGGAAACCTACTCTAATATAGACCAAGAAAATTCAAAAATGGAAAATCCAAGGAACAGTTTTTCACCAGACCCAAATGCTTCCTTCCTAATATACCTACAAAGTATAATTTACATGCCTCATTCAATTAGAATGTTATGTTTGACAAATTTATTCTGTTGGATGGCTCATGTCTGTTATTCCTTATATTTTACTGACTTTGTCGGGGAAGCCGTATTTTCTGGAAACCCAATTGTAAGTATCCAATATTTTTGCTTAAGGATTTTGTAGAATGGCCAGCAAGATCACCGGATCTAACACCTCTAGACTTGTTCCTATGGTATGTTTGAAAGACGACCTGCTAATTTAAATCAATTAAGGAACAGAAAATGGGGGGGGGCAAAAAATTTAAAGTAATACACTCTGTATATATTCGTTGGACTCACAGCTGTATTGTTATTTGTACTTCTAAATATATATTTAAATAGCATTTATGTGCCAAGAAAATTAAAGTTATAGCGTTTTCGGTAATTTTTATTTAAGCATAGATCTTCAATTAATTTTCTCACAGACTGGGTCATGGTAAAATATAAATATACCTGCAGAAAAATTAATTTTAAATTTGGATACAAAACACACATTTAACCTTAGACTATTTGTTCCTAGATAGAAAATACTTAGACCATTTATTTCTAGATGACTTTCTTAAGGGAAATCAAAAAAAATATATATAAACATACATAGAACACTAGAATTTATATAAACCGTTTATTACCTTTTGGATTTTGACGCGATGTAAGTTTTTCTTTATGTAAAATAATTGACTTTCGAGGAAATTTTTTTTACACAATTTTAAGGCATTAAGCACGTGGTGACGAAGCGTATTTAACTAATAATTTCTTGTTATCAAATTTAAACATTTTTTAACAATGCGTTGATAAAATGAGTAATATTTATGGCATTTATCAAACATTTATGTATTACTTAATATATCAATAATTATTCCATTGTTCATGTTCCTTGTTTATAATAACTAAAGAAAAACAATATATCTTGGACCAAGAAATACACACAACCAATATTATATGGAATCAAGCAGTAATTACGAGAAACAGTATTTTACTTAAAAAAAATTGAAAATAAAAAGCACCATATCCTAACCAATTTTATTACAAAAAAAAACTAAAAAATATTAAATCAAATTTTGTATTGGACAAATAATAATAATAATAATGTGAATTTCACTGAGAATAAACTTTACAGTAAATCAGAATTTAAGAAGAAATAATTGTATAAAAAACCTAAGCCATCCAAAATTATTTGATTACACAGTACAACAAGATTTTTCTCTCATGAAAAATTTTAACAGATTTTAAAAATAAAGGTTTAAAAAACGTACCCGTATCTCACCGTTTGGTTTTTTCTTCAAATATTTTATGTTTTTACATAATACAAAAATTATACTACCTACCGGTTTGACCGGAAGTGACATCAACTTTGTTATTTCAAATAGTACACCCCATATATTTTTACATTTTTAAATTCTGAGTTAAATTACCATTTCATGTCCTATACCTAAAGTGAATAGTTTTCTAGATGTTTGCTATTAGGTTTACGGATATGGGTGTAAAATGTTTGGAATCTTAAAACATTGTTTAAAAAATTTCATGTCAATTCTTTAACATTTTTCATTTTTTATTTTAAATGTAACACCCGGTATGTTAAGAAATTGACATGGAATCTTTTAAACAATGTTTTAAGATTCCAAAAATTCCACCCTCATTTCTGCAAACCTAATAGCAAGAAAGTTATAGGCTATTTTTGATTGACGCGCATTTGTCATATTTTAACGGAAAAAATTAATAACTCCAAAACTATTTACTCTAGGTTTAGGACATGGTACAGTAATTGTACTCAAAATTTTATGTATAATTTAAAAATGTAAAAATATATGGGGTGTTCCATTTAAAATAACAAAGTTGATGTGACTTCCAGTCAAACCGTGGCATTTTGTTTAAAATATTTTATAAAAATAGGCTTAATTGGATTATAAACGCTTTAAAAATTTCAAATCGATATCTTTTGCCGTTCCTCAGAAACTCTCAATGGACCACGAACGTGAAACACCCGTATTTCGTAAATGTGCAACACCCTGTATATAATTAAAATAATTTTAAAATAAATAAATAATCTTAATGGTGGTCCATTTATTCAGTGTTATTTACTGTCTAGCTGTTATCGAGAAACGGGTATAAATTTTTTAAGTCTATTTTCAAAATCTATAGAAATTTTTCATGGGAGGAAAAAAAATTAAATTTTGTCGTACTGTGTTATCTACGTCGCATTGGTTAATGAAAATGATCTTACTATAGGAAATATTGTCACTAAAAAGCCAACAAAAGCATTTCTTGTATCGTAGTAGACTTCAAATGACATTAATAAGTATTTCATGAATTTTAGGCACCACTGGGTGACGTATCAAGAGATTTATACGAAAAAGGAGTTAGATTTGGGTGTTGGGGAATGTCCATGTATTCCCTATCTTGTGCATGTTACTCGATGGTCATAGAGAAACTAATATCGCATTTTGGGTAAAAAAATATACAGTTACACTTGCAATTAGTTTTCATAGAATTCATAAAATATATTTTAGTGCGAAAAAAGTTTACGTGGGAGGACTATTGGTCTATTCCACGGGAATGTTTCTAATGGCGATTACGAAACATAAAGTAGGGGTGATATTATTCAGTTGGACGGCTGGAGTTATGTACTCGACGCTATTTACAATGCCCTACCTACTTATAGCTCATTATCACGCCAAAGGAACGGTAAGACATTATTTACAGGGTAAAGGAAGTAATAAATGTGCAAAAACTTAAAACACAAGTAAAAATTAAGTTTTTTTTTGAAAACGGTTGATTCCATGACTTTCTAAAAAGAGCACCTTTTTACGTAAAATTATCTGGAAAATCGTATTTCACACGGTGGTCAAAACTTAAGTATAGGACGAACAAAAATGCCAACCAAAACTGATAGCATATTTTAATTAGAGACCCTTTTGGTATTTGCAAACTTTTTTGTTTTTCTATTTCTATATATTATTTTGCAATTATTGTACTAAAACTACCTGTACAATTTTAATAAAATTAAGCAAAATAATAAACTTTGTATCATTTAAATTACTTTACTCCCCAGTATTAATTTATTGAGTCACCTATTATTTTTTACCACTCAAAACAAAACATAACAAAAAAAAACGAAGATTTATATCTCAAATATTTTTATAACAAAAAATACTGGAAGTTTGTCTATGAAATAATTACAACTTGCAAATTTTGTAAAACAATAATTAAGGTGGTTATGAATAAAATTGCTATACGTTATAACGCAAGTGACATTTTCCTTTAGTTGTTTATTTAATGTATATAAAGTTAAAATAGTATTTTAAAATGAAAATTAAACCGAAATTCAAGTTAAGCCATTAAGAAAATCGAAAGAAGGTATGTGCTGGCTGTGGAGACAAAATTGTTTTTGGTAATCGAAAAATTCAGAATTTAGGGTTTCTGAGAAAATATAAAAATTACTGCAGACTTTTTCAAACGAACACTTTCACTTAAGTGATTCAAAATTACCTTCTTCAATATGGTAAAAACGGTATTTTTGCAAAGCCACAATTGCCAAATTTTCAAAATTTAGAAATTGCTAGAGAATTTCGCGGCAGCCAAGAATGTATGTGCTTTATCTGCAAAATGGCAAGATATAAAGGGCATAAAAAAATATTAAGGGAAGAGGACGGACGAACGAACTAAAGTTTTGATATGCTCTTCCTTTCTAGGGGATATCGCTAGATGTAAGAAGCATGTTTGTACAGAGACTGAAGAATTTAAAAATACTGTTTCCATGTTAAAAACAATTCCATGTAAAACCCAAGAAAAAGTTTTACTGAAAATTTAAGGCAAGCAGTAATCGATTTTGCTTCAAAGAATCTTTAGTTATTTATTAGTTTTATATTAGGTACCTTAAAACAATAAATAAGATATTGCAAACTGTATTTTACATTATTTTGTATTTATAATGTAATTTATCTATATTTCAGTCATGTATCTGCCAAATTTTTAATAATATTTGATAATGGTACTAGAGTATTTTATAAAAATGGCATAAACATTTTTAAAATACTAAGAAATATGCAAAACTTTAATAAAGGATCAGCTGGGATTTTGATAAATACATTTTTGTGTTACCAAAAGAGTCTATAATCATATTATGCTATCAGTTTTGGTTGGCATTTTTGTTCGTCCTATACTTTAGTTTTGACCACCGTGAATTTAAGATCGGAAATTCAAAAAAAAAACATTAAAAAACTAAGGAATTTTATTTATAGTTTGAGTTGACATCTGAAGGTGAAGAGAAGGTGTGCAGTCAAATCAGAGGGATTGGTACTGATGTAGCTATAGTCTCCAGCATGGTATTTTTGGCCCAGTTTATTTTGTCCATATGCATGGGCACTATTGTTAGCGTTTCTGGGACAACTACTGCTGTGGTCAGCGTTGCCAGTTTGCTGGCCTTTTTCGGGGCCATATCGGCTACCAAAGTTATGTACTTGGAACTTTAAATTAACCTCGTAGGTATAAGAGTATTTTATGGTACGCTGTTTTAACATTTTTTATTATGAAAGAAAAAATTTACTAACAGCTCAATTTCGTATTACACAATATTATTTTCAATCAACTTTTGAAAAAATTTCATTCAAACCATCATTTTTATATTATGTAAAAACATAAAATATTTGAAGAAAAAAAATGATTTATAACAAAATAGAGAATTGGAAATCTGTTTAGGTTAAAAAAATAAACCTTTATTTTTAAAATCTTAAATATTTTTCATCTATTAAATGCTAAAACGGCGTATGTTGATATTTAGATAACACTGGATTTTTTTTTCGTTTTAACCAGTGTTATAAGTTTGTAGCACAATTAATTTTGTTTTGTTATGTTTAAATAAGACAATAATAAATAAATGTTTTGTTATTTTTTGTTAACCAGTATTATAGAGGCTTCCAAATTCAATTAGTGTAATTAATGTAAATGGTATATGAAATAAATATCTAAAAAAAACACTTGATTTTTGTATTGTTTTGAGCTCCCATAAAAAAAATTATTTTTAAAAGATCAAGCAGATGTTTGGTGTGTGGGAAAAATTGTTCCTATTTGGCAATAAAATCGAGGATTAAATGGTCTACAGTAAAAAGTATTCTTGTAAGCAGTAAATTGTTTTTATAGACAGTTTCACGTGTTATTTTGGCAAGAGAATTTATGCTATTGCCAATTTTTCTATCAAGTAAATATTTTTGAATTAGTTTAGTATAGCAGTTTTGGGTCATACTATTATAAAACAAATTTACTTACATTAAAAATATGTTTTACTTTTCAAAAACCTTGTGTATTTTTGATAATTAAAACCTTGAAAAATTTAAATAAAATATTAGTGAGTTTAAAATAAAAAATTAAAAATGCAAAAATTTCATTGTTAAAACTGCCTAATTATTTTTTTCGCAATTATTACCGATAGATAAACCCAAGGACGTATATGTTTACATACTGTATAATAGTACCCATTAAAATACATAACGAAAATTATGAAATTACAAATTGCGGCACACAGATATGATGCCAAAAAGTTCACTACCTCCAAAAAATAATTCTAGAGAAAAAAGATGCGCATATAGCAAATTGGAATATTCTCATAATAGCAATTCACAGTGGGACCAACAAAAATTGTGTGCCAATTTTTAAAAATAAAAAAAATTGTAAAGGGTCAAGCAAAAGTTATCCGCAAAGCTTGATAATGTAATTTACACAGATTCTAAAATAAAGAGAATACAAGAAGAATATGCTTTATCCGAAATCGGCAGTAAAATAGTCAACAATCGGCAGTAAAGTAATACGAGTATTGTATGCAACCCATTATACATTTTAAGATGTGTCTACTGCACCTCAGCAAATGACATTTGATTTGATCATCAATATTAATTATTAGTATTATTAAATGTGATTTCCACATTCGTGATAAAAAATACCACTTTACTGCCTTGATATATAAATAACAATTTATTGGATACATTAACCAAGCCTATCCAAAAATTCTCTGAAAACGTGTTGGATGACTCATAAAGCGACATTCTTCACGAATTTGATTTTTCAAGTCTCTAGACTTTGTGATCTGTTGATGTAGACCTTCGATTTAAGGTAGCCTTAAGAAATAATCGATAGGGGTGAGATCAGGTGATCTAGCTGGCCACTCTATCGGTCTTCATCTGCCAATCCACCTATCAGGAAAACATGTTGACTGTTGTTGTTTGACTGTACCATTCAAACAAAAGGTAGCTTCGTCCAAAAAAAGTATTTTACGAAGAAAGTGTGGATTAATGTTACATAAATTCATCATGGTTTTACAAAATTGTAGTCTACGATCCGGATCATCTTCGTTAAGTTCCTGCACTAGTCTAATTTTGTATGGATGGTACTTTTCTTTTTCATAAGACGTTTTACATTGGCTTTGACTTTTAGCTGAGACTATCCTGATAGCACACTTTATTCTAAGAATGTTTTTTAAACCTTCCAGGGAGAATATTCTTAGGATCATGCTATATTTCTTCTAAAGAACATGCTTAAAAGACATATAGCATGATCCTAAGAATATTCTTACTGGCCTATAGGAAGGTTCTTAGAAGGTGCAAAGTTTTAGTGGTAAAAATTAGTCTACTCTAAACATATGCTTAGAATGTTAAGAAAGTAATTGCTATAGAAAGTTCATTTAGGAATATTCCTGTTAAGCATATTTAGTTCAGTTACCTATATAATAGTAAAATATACCATAAACCTATACTTAAGTACCTAATTAGTAATTAGTACCTATTAAATACTAAGTAAAAAACACAATCCAAAATATTTTTTATAGTTATTTGTCAAATTAAAACAATATTCGATAACAAAAATACTTTTATTATGGGTATTTTATTTTATGTTAAAAATAAATATTTATTAATTTGTATACCGATTTTCTATTTCTGAATTAACATTTTTATGCATAATAATCCTAACTATCTTCAACTTCAATCTAATCTGACTTATTAAACAAAATTTTTCAATTTTACTTTTTATGACATAGGGCCGGTTTTTTAATCGTTGGTTAAGTTTATCTTACGGTTAACTTTCTTAGATACCATTGTGTTAACAATTGTATCTAAGGAAATTAACCGTAAGATAAACTTAACCCACGATTGAAAAACCGGCCCATAATGTCATACAACTTATGGTTAAGAGGTCAAATTGTTTATTTAATATTTTTAAATAAATATATATTAATATGTCGCAAAATTTTTTAAGGGGACGACAAATACATTTCACTGTCATATTATGACAGTGAGGCGCATTTGTCGCCTCCTGAAGAATTTTACGAATGTAGAATACAACATATTAGAACGTGGGTATCTGACATATTTGGAAGCTCCATAAGAAACTTTCTAAGAACATTCCAAAAAGGTATTCTTAAAATGTTCTTAGGATGCTTTTTAGGAAGGTTTTAAGAAGCTTTTAAGAATCTAATTTCATCATTAAAAGTCCCTAAGAACATTCTTAGCAATAAGGGAAGGTTCTAAGAATATCATATCATCTTAGAAGATTCTTAAAATCAAATTCTGCTATCAGGGTAGGCTAGAACCACTGTAAGGATCTTCTTCCATACGTAACAAAATGTCAATTTTAGTCTTCAATAATACTTGGACATAGAGTTTTAAATAAACTAAAGGCCTTTATCCTTGAACACAGACAACCTGTATAGATTTTTTTTCAAACAGAGGGTGGACGGTTAAACTTTTTTCTCTGATGAGCTAAACGTTCGAATATTTTATTTTCTGTCACAACGTGAATAATGAACTCGTTAATGTTAAAATAGTTTATCGCTGAGGCTATGTAAACAGAAAACAATCAAAAACATGACGTAAATAATCGATATACTTGGTAAACGGACAATTTATTTGCCAATTCATTTCAAGGGGAAAAGACCTGAGAACAAGTCTGTTGGTTATATAATATATACTGGGTACATTATTGTTTATTTATTTAGCCAATCAGCAATTTTTTTAACGATCGCTTACATGCAACTGACCCTCACTATCGTCGTCCAGTTCTTGCAGTTCCTCGCTCTTGGGGCTGAAGAACTGCACTATGATGTCGCTGCCGGCCCATGCCACTGCATCTTTGACACTTTTGCTTTTCTTCAACATATTTCACAGGATCGCCCAACCGTCTGTCAACCGCATTCGCGCCGCACTCTAGACGAGACACTGACTTCCAAAGCTCTCTGGATTCTCGATCTGAGCACGTGCTCGTGTTGTGTCTGTGTTTTTTGTACTGAGCTTTTCGCTTCCAGCGAATTGGTTATCGCCGGTATGTGGTGATAGTCGATTATGCGGCTGGTTTATTTAGCGGGCAAATGCTTTAAACTTAAATATTGGCCACGAATCGCACATGGATTGTTTGGTACGGACGACACGCGTTGCAAAGTGATTCACGTTGCTAGACAAAAGTCTGCTTTTATTTTTAAAGATTTTGATAGGGAAGCAAAAGCATGTTTATATTTTTTTATTGTTACAAAGCCAACATTCAAAAATATTAGTAGTCAAAAAGTCGAAAAGTGTGCGTTTCGGGTGTTTCACGATTCTGCCTCTATGTCCTGACCATTGTTACATTTATTTGAAATTCAGCGAATTTTCTCAGGGAAACATTCCTAAAAATTACAGGCCTCCAAAAGTATAATATTTACTAATCATCTACCACATAATCACTGTCACAAATAACGTTTTACTATTTTTTTTTATAAAATTTTACCATGTTTCGGGTGTTACCATGGTTCTGTTTCGGGTGTTAGAAGTACAAAAATTAAACACTTTATATGGACAAAATCAATGTTTTATTAGTTTCTAGGTACTACAAAATAAATAAAATAAATAGTAACAAATAAACATAAATAGAATGAATTCTCCTTGAACATAACTTAAGCAGCTTCGGGTGCGATTGATAAATCGGCTAAAAGGGAAAATAATTATTATTGCCAAAAATCGGTAGGTCCGTTGCCATTTAGGTAGAAATATCGAAATTTCGGTAGGTTCGACAACATCATCGGAAAAGCAGTCACACCTCTTTAAAACCGATGGCGGCGCTAGTGGACCGTCAAAAGAGCCTAAAAAATAATACCTACTCATTGCGTTATTCAAGCAATACACACACATACGAGGTGTGTTCATAAAATATCGGGAATTTTCGTTTTTTAAAACAAATATTTATTTATTCGTCTACATTAATGTTGTCGCCTTCAAAATAGTCCCCATTGGATATTATGCACATGTGCCAACTCTTCTTCCAATACTCGAAACACTTCTAAAACTCGATCTTTGGGATAGCCTTTAGTTCTTTCAGCGATGCGCTTTTAATGTCATCTATGCTTGCAAAACGACGGCCCTTTAAGGTTCTCTTTATTTTTGGGAATAGGAAAAAGTCAGACAGAGGCATGTCTGGCGAATATGGAGGCTGGGGCATCATTACAATACTGTTTTTGGACAAAAATTTTGTTCAAAATTTAACAATTTTGGAACAAATTTTGCTGCCACGCGTTTCATACCCAAAACATTCGAAAAAATTTCATGGGATGAGCCAATCGATATACCAACATCATCAGCGACTTCTCTGATGGTTTACAACCATTTCTTCCACTTTTTCCATGTTTTTATCGGTTGTTAATGTGCTTGTGCGTTCGGGGCGTTCGTCATCTTCAACGTCTTCACGGCCATCTTGGAAACTCTTATACCACTTGTAAACTCTTGTTTTACTTATAGCAGACTCATTATAGGCCTTTGTTAACATTTCACAGAATTTATTTAATTTTTTAAGCAAAATTGGATACAAATTCTTTGATCCATTTCTTTTAACGAACGAAATATCGCCGAGCTCATAAAACACGTCTAACCTTAGCGGCTGCCGCAGACAAAGTAAACAATGAAAACAGCTAAAGTTTTTATCATACTTCGGGGACATGTATACCAACATAATAAAGAAAATTTTATGACAACCGGACCCTCCGAACCCGCGAAATTTAACAATTCCCGTTATTTTCTGAACACACCTCGTATATTGACATTTGAAAAAAGTTGTAGCACCCGAAACATTTCGGTGTTACAGTTTTTAATCAAGAAAAACACATTTCAGATTAGTCTCATGCTCAGACATTAGTTAGTATTTTAAATCATTACCACCATAACGTTACTTTTACTAAATATTATTACACTAATCAATCTGTAAGGTATAATAATTATTAAAATATTTCTATGGGGTCATTTGAAATCCATTCCAAAAAAATCTAGAATTACATAAGGATTTCAAAAATGGTGACATAATATTAATATTAAATTAAAATGTGTACAGGATCAAGATTATTAATATATGAAACTATAGACTATAGTCATAAAATTTTTAATAGTTTTAAAAATAACGAAATTTTTAACTTGTGTTAACATCATTTAAATAAACCCTTATGAAATCGCCGCCACTAATAATATACAAAGATGCTAGCCACGAATAAACCTAAAAAACCACATATATATGTAATCTACTTAACAATAAAATTCACCGTACAAATATAATTAAATATAAATTTAATCTATTTTAGTTTATTAACCTTAACTAACCAACTTTATTAAAATGTTATGTATCATAAAAACAAAAATGAATGAAATTATAACTTATTGTAAGAAATTTATCTATTTCTTAAAATTATTAAATCATACCAATTAATGATTTAATATTATTTAAAATAACTAACCACCATTACGAAATATAACAAAGATACTTACCACAAAGAAATTCATCTCCTTCTTAAAATATTTAATAATTTAATAATATTCAAATTAACTAACCACCATAATATTACGAAATATAAAAAACTTTGTTATATTTCGGTACTTACCACAAAACTAAAAAACTAATCAATATAATTAAAATACATAATATGTATGGCAGTGGCGGCTGGTGGATTTTAAGTATACCAATATCACAGTTATTAGACATGGGACCCACACCAAATTTATAATAGTTTATATTGACATTAAATAAACAAGTTTGGCGCAAACAGAATTTAAATTAAAGTTTGCGAAAAAAAGTTAGTTTTTCCTGTCGCCTACCCTGCCTCCAGGCCCCCCTATTTGAGATAATTCAAATTAAAGTGGTGCAATTTATTATCTACTATAATTTATCGACAAATTTAAAATTTTATTCAAAAAATCCAAATATTGCAGTTTTTATACCATTTTAAATATTTTTTTATTTTAATAAAATAAATAATAAAAATTTAAAATCAAATAAAATCTGTAATATTTGGATTTTTTGAATAAAATTTTAAATTTGTCGATAAATTATAGTAGATAATAAATTGCACCACTTTAATTTGAATTATCTCAAATAGGGGGGCCTGGAGGCAGGGTAGGCGACAGGAAAAACTAACTTTTTTTCGCAAACTTCAATTTAAATTCTGTTTGCGCCGAACTTGTTTATTTAATGTCAATATAAACTATTATAAATTTGGTGTGGGTCCCATGTCTAATAACTGAGATATTGGTATACTTAAAATCCACCAGCCGCCACTGATGTATGGGTGAATCTCACAAAATGTCCCCCGATGATGTTACCCCTTGATATTTAATAAAACTAAATGAGTTTGATCTTTCATAATTAAGTAGATATTACAGCTCAGGTTCCAGAATTTTAACCGCAATTAATTATTTTCTACAATGTTTTACAAGTCTAAAACCTATCCTCCGTGACTGTTACTCTTTCTTGGTTAACCTACATGTTTTCAAATATCTGAGGTAGTAAAAGCATACTAAAAATATCAGTTCACTACGTAAATTAAACACATTGCTTTAAATTTTATGCAACAAATGGCGCTTTAATCATTTTAAATAAGCAAAAACCTCTGTTTACGACATTATAGATGCATGTGATTTCTGAAGGTCAGTTAGAATTTATATGCAGATGAGAGTGTTGCTGTTTTATAATTCAAAAGTTTAAGTTCATTAATTTGCTATTTAAAAACCTATCCACCGTGAAGTGTAATATCTCAGTATTTTATGTTTGAACAAATGTATTTTTTAAAAATATTAAGGTGTCAAAAGAAACAATAACTTATTATCTTCCGTGAAGCTCTAATATTCAAAATGTATGTATTCTAGACTAACAGTGAAACAACCAATAATAAAAAATATATTCACCCGTATACTATTGATTCGTTTTAAAGGAAAATTTATAAAAGTACTTTTATTTTGATTTCAAATTTTTTTATTGAAATAACATAGGAAATAAGTTTTATTTATAAATTTTGTAACATTTATGTTTTGTCATTCCCCAAGCAAAATATTGATGTTAATATCGATAAAAAATAAATAATAAAAATAAGGATATTTTTTCAATTTCCCATAACTTTTTGTAAAAGATTGTATGTAAAAATATAATTAAATATAAATAACTCAATAATGGAAAATTTTCATACCGAAAATATTATTTTAAAATTAGCTTGAAATTGGCAAGAATATTATAACTCCAAACAACCTACCAGAGCAAAATTGTTTGTGATTTTGCCAAAAATTATCTCGTGTTCTAATATGACAACAAACGTTTTGGCATGGAGGTAAACATGCCGAGAAAAAAAAAAACAGAAATATTAATTATAATTTATTAAATTCAACATTAACAAACTTTGATGCTATACTAATAATACCTTTTAGGTGCTTGTATATTAGACTGGGCCAAAAAAAATGACCATTTTTTTTTTTTGAAAAATATATCGAGAAGGTCATTCAGAATGACAAAAAAAAATTTCGTGAAAATTTGAGCACTTAATATTAATTTTAAGAGGTCTATCATCGCTATTTTTGATTTTTAGTCATAATTTGATGTTTTACGTTAGAACTGTCAAAACATTAAAGTGAAAAAAATTCCTTTTCACTTATTTTTATATAAAATTAAATTCTCTACAAAAAAGGTCGGATTGAAAATTTTCGTAAATGACATTCTCGATATATTTTTCAAAAAAAAACTAGTCAATTTTTTTGGCCCAGTCTATTGTATATGTGTTGAGTAGTAAAGTAATCTCTATTGGACGGATTCGTTTCAAATCACATTAAATTAAATCCTCAAATTATTCATGCATTTATCGAGAATATCCTTTTTAACTCTGGGATACTCAGGACTCAATTTTAAAACCTCCTGTGCAACGTCAATGGCAGCAGGGAATTTTTTGCATTTCATGAGCACAAAGGCGAGTTTAAACCCCACACTAGGATTGGACTTGTTGCCATATTTCCAAGCGTTTTCGTAGTTGGTAACCCCGTCCTTATATCTCTGTTCCTTTTCAGAAACAAACCCTGAATACTCGTAAGCTTTGGTGCAGGATTTATTATGCAAAATAACTTTCTGTATGAGGTCAGAAGCTACGTCAAACTTGGCAGACTGTATGTAGAAATCGGCCAAAATTAACCAGCATCTTTCCAAATATTCTGCATCTTCGAAAGTCCAAGTCGACTTTACAATCCGTTTTAGTTGATTTTTGGCCCTTTGACTTTGCTTTAGTAGAGTGTAAGCTGTGGAAATCCCCAAAATAGTCCCTATGTCGTCCTTATAAGTGTTTTGAGATGCTATAGCTACTAAGTCTTCCAGTGCCCGTTCAATACTGTATTTGTCTTTCGTTGCTAACAATTTAAAGTTCGTTAAAAGTCTGTGTCTTAGTAGATCTTCGCTGTTAATTTCTAGGCGAGATTTAAGCTCTTTCAATAGTCTGTCAGCTGAAAAAAAAATTCCAATGTCTAAAGTCAAAATTGTTTGGCCAAACTTACCTGTTTTTAATGCCATAGACCTAGAATCCCTGTACTCTATATCCTCAGTATCCATGAACTGATCAGCTAACATCTCGTCATCAGGGTTCAAGCAAATCTCGATCATGTTATAAATAGCCTGCAAACCAAAAACGCTATCCTGTCTGGTTGCATTAAAATTCTTTAAGGCCCCGTTGAGATTTCCGGAATACCACTGATACAAAGCAGTGCAAAATAGAAATCCTGCATCCTTACCAGGATTCTCGCAAAGGGATTCAGCGTTTGATAGATATTCCGGTAAGTCGTCTAAATTTCCTGTTCTTCTAAGGATTTCAATGAGTCTCACCAAAGCATTCCAATTTGTCGGTTGCTTGGTTATCAGTTGGGTGAAATGAAATAGAGCCATATCAAAGTCAACCTTAAAGGAAATATGTTTTTAACACTTCTATATTTCTTAAAATATGATAAACTTACTTTGTGAAAAGCAATGTCTGCCATCATCACTGATGCCGCCTCGTTTTCTGAATCTAATCTTAATATGTTGGAGCACGTTTGTTGGCAAAGCTCTAAGAAATTCATCTAAAATAATATTCATAATATTATATTATAATGCTATATATTCGGAAAGGAAAAATGTATTGCCATCGAGACAAACTGCTCTTGAAAAGGTACACTGCAAATGAAAAAATATTGGCCGTTATTGATGTCTTACGTGAACGTTTTCACCTTCATAGTCTTTGAATATTTTGTGATGAATAGGAATTTGATATAGGAAATTCAAGGGGCTGAATACTTCTCAAGTTTCTCAATACTTCCCTGAAGTATTTGCAGTCAAAGTTAATGTATGTTTTGATTTCTACACCTGAGTCAAGCGTTCAAATTTTGTGCTGATGCATGTTATTTATTCTGCCTTACGTGTAGGTATTTGGGCTATGTAAAAATGAACATTGTATGCTATCTACTTGAGTCGACGATTTAAATTTGAAGATTAAGTGGAAGAGAACGTTTTAAGATAGATAGCAATTAATAAACATAGGAAAAACGACACGAGAAGGAAGTGACGTCATATACGGTGTGGGCCCTATTTAAGTATAATAATTTTGTCGAAAATATTGTAATACTATATTAGAGTATCAATAATTGTTAAGTTTAATTAAAATTAATAACGGGCAATGTTAATGGTGACAATTACGTCAAAAATGTGTATTTAAATCGTAGTGCCATTTATAGATTCCCGTACCGTAAGGACGGCATTCCTTTCTCCCGTAGAAATTTTTAAGTTTTATCTTTCACCGTAAAGGTCTTTGACATGACCAATCACAGTGCTTGTTATGGACATGCGCTGTAGGGTGACAGCGCGTAGGCACAAAATATTTAAAATACATGATTGTTTAGTATTTAGGTGTTCAGTTTATTAAATAATTTGTGTCTCTAAGTAGGATATTTAAATATTGTTTATAATCAATGTCTTTCATTTTTAGAAACGTTGCTTTGTAAAACCCCGTAGTTTCCCGGTCTTGGTAAAGTGGGCGAGTCTTCCAACGCCTTGTTCGATGTTTTTTTCATTATACTGCCCTACTGTGGAGAAAGGCAGTAACTACAAAAAAATTCTAAATGCGTTTTCTTTTTTTATGATAAAGCTATGGACATTTTGTATCTTAATTCAACAAACAAATGCAGTATACTTAATATTTAAATGATTTATTTAACTTATAAGATAGTTTATAAACTATCTTATAAGTTAAATAAATCATTTAAATACCTACTGCTTTTTATGAAAATGTAGTTTATGCTAATTTTCCACAAATTTCTTGTTTAGCAGTTACTGCCAAAGATAATACACCCCATAGATTGGAAACTGCACTAGCGCTAGCGGCAAAAGGCTAAAGTAAATTAACGCCATCTAGGTCTACAATACCCTTAGCAATGCCAAAAATTGAAGTAGATTTCTGTAACATATTGGCGCCATATTTGAATATTGATGCTTCGTAGGGTGTCTTTATATATTGTATTTACTGCTGTATTTTAAATAAAACAAGTATGGATATAAGATTTATTTATTGTATATATAATATAAAATAAAATACATACATCTATATATACATAATCTGTATACATGAATATGTTTTTGTTTGTGGAGTGCAAACCTAAAAAATATTAATCTTAATTCTTCAATAATAAGATAATATTGCAAAATTTGGTAATTTAGCTCCTTATACGAGTTTAAACTTAACATATAGGAATTTGTACAAGGCTTTTTAGTGTGGACTTTTGGCAAGTTCTAACCAACCGTGAAAAATCTATCTTGCCAACTATTGGTTTTGAAACAACCATAAGTAGCCTGGGCTTGACCTGGACTAAATTACCATTAAAAAAGCAATCCTAAATAATTCATAAAGTATTTTTACGCTAGAGCGATACTGCCGTGCTATGCCAAAAAGATGCAACTCCACATTTTTACTTTATAAATTACCTATAGCGCTTTATTGTTTTTTTCCAAGATACGATCAATTTAATAAGAAATTTTTAGGAGCTATAGTACTTAAAAATGTATGTATATATACAAAAAAAGACAAATTTTAACTATAGTTAAAATTTGTCTTTTTTTCTAAGAGAATAATTTAATAATAACGAGATGAGTCTTTTTGGCTTAGGACGGCAGGATAGTCAATACTTACAAATTGGTTACATTTCCGCGCCCAACAACAATACATTTCACAACCATTAACACGTTTTATCACTTTTAAGGCGCAAAAATGTATTTAATAATTTAAAAATTATGATCGACATCAATAATTATGATTGACATTGACATTTGCAAATAGCGTTTGTACAGATGTCTGCAATTTAAAAATAGATATAGTTCAGGTATTGTAGAACTAGAGGGCAGTGGTGGGAGAGTTTCCAATCTATGGGGTGTATTATCTTTGGTTACTGCCTTTCTCCATAGTTGGGCAGTATACAACACCATAGTTGGGCAGTATACAACAAGCTGCCTGCAATTAAAATTGTGATCACTGCACTAATATATAAATGTTTATCTTTCATATTTACACACAATGGGTAAAACGCAAAATATAAACAAAAACAAATGTCAACCATTTTGGGTGTCATCGCGCATGGTTACGGAATTTTACACGGAAATCCATAAATTGACTTTTTACAAGACGCACAAATCGTACGGGCACGACTACGAGAGGAGGGAAGGCAATCTATAATTCAGGCTTTAAACATAAGCGGTAAACATATAAATATGATTTCTTTCGTTGACTATAGATACTTTGACAGATACATAACCTGAAATGCCTTAAATGTCAAATGAGTCCAGAATTCAAATTCAAAGATTAAGTGGAAGAGAACGTTTCAAGATTCAAGAGAGTTATTAACAAACCTAGAAAAAACGACACGAGACGGAAGTTTTATAATAATTAATTTTGTTGAAAATAATTGAATAATTGTCATTTGATCATAAGAAATGCAATACCCAGTAAAACATTAGGTATGATAATATATTCACAAAAAATACTAACTTTTTGTACAGATATTTATCACAAAAATATTATATTGTTTGAATAACAATCGTATTTGTGAGATATAGGTATTTAAAAAAAATGTTCGAACGAATTTTTCAATTCATTTGAACTCTTGTAATATATTGCTGCCGAGATGCCTATACAAAATTGGCCGAAATTACCTTTAATTAATATTTATTGTTGCTTGAGCTTGCTTTCATTTTTATCAGCGAACCTTATAGCTCAGTTGAAAAGGCGCTTGCTTATCATGCGAGAGGTACCGGGTTCGATTCCCAGCGCCTGCATTAACTTTTTTTTTTAAACGAATGCTTGCTACAGGCATTCATTCATCACAACATTGAATAAAGTCTATACTTCCCACAAGGTTTCAAATCTTCAATTCACTGTAAACTGCTGTGAATATTTTCTCGTTTGCAGTGATAGTTGTTTAATTAAATTATTACAATTTTTTTAATTAATTTTAATTAATATGAGCTATTTTTAAGAATTATATTGCATTTTTAAGTACTCACTTGCATATACAATTTGGCCAAATTAACCAAAATTCCAATGTTATTTGGAGACACATCCAAACCTTCTTTATAAAAATTGACAGCATCATCATTATTTTTAATAGAAATAGACAAATCAGCCAGCTTTAAAGCTGTCTCAACGATAACATTAACATCAGAATAACCTAAAATGAGGAAAAAACTTAAATCAAGTCACAACAAATTTGTGTGTTCAATATTACCACTTTGATCGACTGCTAGCCTCTTCCTCAACCTGATCTGATTATCCATGGAACTTTTCAAAGTCTTAATAGCCTCCTTAACGTTCCCAGATTTCTCCCGAATGTGCCCCAATAGGTTAAAAATCTGTATCCGGTTTTGTATTGAGTTTAAGTCGTCCTTATCGTTTTCCCTTTCAACTTCATCCAAAAGTATCAGCTCTGCTTTTGTGTATTCTTTGAGGTTCATTAGTAGGTCCGCCAAGTCTAACTTTAAGGCTGTATCTGTGCTAGACTTGATTTGATTTTCGTAGTACTTAACCGCCTTAGTGAAGTAGTGGGTCTGTATGAGAGCACGTCCGAATTTAAGAATCAAATGTGAATCCATAGGGTTCATTTGCAAGGCTTTTTGGTAACATTCCAGCGCATCATCAGGCTCCAAAATGACCAAATACGCATCTCCTAGAGCCACGTATTCCTCAGCGCCAGGATTTTCACCTATCAGACCTTTATAAATCTCCAAGTAAGCAAACTTATCGTTCCTGTACTTCAAGAGAATGTCGGCGTGCTTTTTTTGGGCTTGGAGGTAACAGGATTCGTTCGGTTTGATTTTTTGTAGTATCTCCAGAGCACCCTGTACGTTCTTTCGTGAGAGGAAGTTATCTACGCTCAGCAGAAGAATTCTGGATTCCTCTGCAGTACCTTTGAGTTCCTTTGTGGCTTCTTCCAGCACTTTGGAAGCATCCTGCGTTTGCTCCAAAACATTCAAACAATCTATTAACTCCACATAAATGGATGCCTTTTCTGCTAACGTCAACTTATTACCGTGATCTCCAATCAATGTTAGAGATGTTGTAAGGGATTTCACGGCATCACTATAACTACCGGATTTTTTATCCACAACACCCGAAATGTAGTGATACAACGGAAACTCTCTAACCCTGAAATCATTGCTGACGCAAGCTTCCAAACTCTGCGATGCCCTGTCATGAAACCCTTGCTGTATTTGTATTTGGGCCATCAATAAATGAGCCTCAACATATGAATCAACTTTGGATAATATTTTTTCCAACGTGCTTAAAGCTTGCGTGCAATCCCCACTCAAATATTGAAGCTTTGCCAGGAGATACAAGGGCTCCAATAATCCCGAACAAGCGCTCACCAACATGTTGAGTATTTCCAAAGCCGACTTCATTGCTTTATCCTCCGTGCAAGAAAGGTGCTGTAAAAACTCTTTGGCAATGTCAAGGGTGAAATCTGGGTTCAACAGCAATAAATAATGATCTGAGTAAGGATAACTTCGTATGGGTCCGAAATGGACATCCCAGCATCTCTTGAGGTAACTCAAAGCTTCATCTGAGGTATCAGAAGACTTGGCTTGCATAAAATACAGTAGAGATGAGCTTTGGGAATCTTTGAACTCCTGTAGAAACTCTATTTGTTTCTTTAATTGATCGGTTTTCCCGTTTTCATTATACTCACATACAGTTAAACCTAATAAAGCCTTAAGAGATGTTTCATCCAACTTGGTGGCCATTTTGAAATACCTCAAGGCTTCCTTGCGACTTACTCTTAGTAGGCTTTGATAGCCCAGCTCTATTATAAACTCTGGGTTATCGGAGTTGGTTTGGGCGAGCGTGTCGAGCATTTTTTTAATCAAGTTTAAGATGTCGGTGTTTCTACCACATATACGGGAAAATAGCTGTGACGTTTCCAGTATAATTAGGGTGTTATTGGGCTCTATTTTGTCCAGTTCTTCGAAGTAATTCTTTATGCAATCTATAGCTTCCGGGTAGTTAGCATCGCGACATAGAAGTATGGTTATGTTAAGTTTTAAAGCTTCTAAAGTGTGGGTTGATGTGTTTTGAACTCTTATCATTGTTTCAATGGTTTGATCCCAGTCTTGTTGGGCGAACAGTATACGCATTTTTTGTATTAATGGCAGATTAGTTGTGGTGTATCTCACTACGGCTCTGTTAATAATGTTTAGGGCTTCTTTAAAGTCGTTCTGGTATATGTAGCACTCAGTTAAGCCTAGTATGGCGTTTAGGCTTCTGGGGTTACCTTCTAGGGATTTTTGGAAAATATTTTTCGCGTTCAGGGTTGTTTTTTGGCCTGATTGGCGAAGTTGCAGTAAAATCCACCCTTTTAAATCCTGGGCTTCATAGTGATTGCTGTCCAAATTTATGGACTTTTCTATGTAGTCCAAAGCTTTCTCCAACTTATTGTAAGTAATCAAGACGAAGGCTGAGTGATAGAAACCGATTGAGTCGGAAGTTTTTCTATATTCGCGCATTTGGTTGTCCAACTTTATAAATAACTCCTTTGAGCCCCCTATTAGCTTATTCCCATAAATAAGTGCTATAGTTGAGGCCAATTTAACCTCATTTTCAAAGGTGATACCTTCAAGCTCGTGAATTCCTTCCTCCAAACGGTTAATGGAAACTAAAGCCAAAGCATGGTACAAATGCAAGGAAACATCGCTTTTATACTTCCCGATGGCTTCTTTGCACGTGTTCAACATTTGGTTGAAGTATTTTTCGCGAAAATAATAAAATATTTTCGCTTTATAATCCGTTTCCTCGATTTTGTCCATGATTGTTTGTCGCGGAAATAAAATAACACGGACTTTTTTGGGATTTATTTTTTTATTGTACAATGTGTTTTGAGTACTTTGACAGGTTGTTTTGCACGGCTTCGGCGAGAAATTCGCATACGATTTTCATTTTTAGGTTATTTTCTGCTATGTAGTCAAAAACTCTCTAAAAAGAGGAAATGTGTTAAAAAAATTATATTTAAATCTCTTAACGATTAATCCCCTATTTTTATTATTATTATTATTATAGGATATACTATATAAAATAGTTGAGTCAATCTCTATTAATTATAATTTTTTTTATTGTATAATGGGTTGCATATCAAAAAACCGTATTTATCTTACATCTGGCAACATTGCTCTATTCTGTTCTGCTCTTCTGAAAAAATATGTAAAAAACTACATTTTCAACTTATTTTTACAAAAACTACTAAATAAGTTATTGGTATTTAACTATGGTTTCGCGTAAAAATCAAACAAATTTTGAACATTTGTTTGCAAGTGATGCCAGAATTGAATATATTTTTTTAACCTTGTTTCTACATCTAAATGGTACATTGTTTTTTTCGAAAAAAAAATTTCATCCATTGACCGCTGTGGTTTTCAGGCCTTAAGTCACTTTACTGTGTTAAAAATAGATAAATTTCGATATTTTGTAATAACATTTTTATTTAAAAACTTATCTATTTGAAATTAAGATAAAATGTAGACCTTATTAGTTAGTGGCAATAAATCCACGTATTATTTTTTTTAGATTTTAACATACAGGGGGCGCTAAGGACAATTTAATTTAAAATTTTACCATTTTTTAAGGGTTAAAAAGTCGAAGAAGCAACGATGTTTTATAATTTTGAGTATATCACGTTAAAGTACTGATAATTAACTATTATTTGATATATAAACTTCTACATGCAAATTATGTTTCTACAAAAGACACCATTTTTTAGTTAGGCCTTCAAAGGGAATAATACTAACTTGTTTTTCAAAGTATATATTCTTTTATCTAGTTATCTAGTTGTATATTATGTATATATAACATACAATTCTTACATATTTATTGAAATCTCCATAGATGGAGCTAAAATTACTTTTATTTATAAATTTAAAATTTTTTCATGTTTATTAATTTTGATCATAGTAGGGCATCATAGACTTTTCTCTATGATAACCTATAGGTATACCATTGGAAGCATGAAAGATAATTTGATAGTTCAGTTTATGTTGCAAATGACTGATTACATTTTAATTTATAAGTGTACTATAAACTCAAAACATTAATTTATTAAAATGAATAAACTAAATAATCCTTATAGACAGTGTCAGCAAGTTAGAAATTATAACCCACTTTAATTTTATTTTTTGCTCCACAACAAAGCTTCAAATTATTTTTTACTTGATAAGCAAGCTTCGATTTTAATTCCAAACTGAGGAAAGCAATGTTTACCCAATAAATAAATTAGAATAAAGACTTTATTTTTTGTTGCGATCGGCTATGTATATTTTTTATTCAGTTATTTTATTTTATTTTTCATTGTTTTATATTTAATATAATGCTATACAGGATGTTTCTGGAGAAACGCAAAGCATATGGATTTGAAATTTTAATAGCATATACAATTTTGACTTTACCTAAAAAATTTTTTCGTTAAAATTTTGCTAAATGCACGTTAATAAAAAATAACCTCTAATTTTTTTGTTATTATGTTTGCTGACATGGGGTTAGAATTTTTGGAATATTAAAACATTGTTTAAATAATTTAATTTTTAAAAGGATTTTTAACAAATAGCTTGAGAAAAACCATTTGAATTAGGAAAACTTAATAAACAATAATAACGATTTATTATAAATGTAAAACCCTGTATGTTTTAACATAATCAAATAGAAAATTAAAGAATCTTTCGATTGGTATAATACCTAATTATAATAACTGTTTTCTAAAGTTAACATTTCTGAGACATTTAACAATTTCTAATATTTTCAATACTATTTTATATCAACAAACCTGTGAAATTCCACATGTGGGTTAATGTGACAATATCCATGGTTACCACTTAATCTGTTATTGTTTAATAGTATATTATGTACAGTTGTATTCAGTGGCGTATTTAGGATTTAGCTCCGGGGGGGGTCCAAAAAAACTAACTAAATATGTACTATGCTATGCTTTAATACGTAAGTTTAACTCCGGGGGGGGGTCCAAAAAAACTAACTAAATATGTACTATGCTATGCTTTAATACGTAAGTAGTTGATTTTTGATTTTAATGATTTTATATTTAAATATAATTAATAAATAATAAAGTACGTTGACAGTCTTGAGATTTTTATTTTTTTTAAACTTTTTTTTGTAATAAAAATAATAAAATATGTGCGCCCGGGGGGGGTCCGGACCCGGCGGACCCCCCCCTAAATACGCCACTGGTTGTATTCAATAAAAAAGCGTACAAGAATTAGAATGAGAGAAAACTGTCAAAATAATTTTATTGCTTAAAACCGGCTTATCACTGACATAAGTCATTAAAATAATTATTATAGGTTATAAAGAGCATTGACGTCGTAGGTTAATTAAATAATATTACAAAAATTATTACCTTTTAATAATGAAAAAAACAAACATTAAAAAAAATTTAATAGTTAGTCATGCATCCCTGTATTTCTATTACTTGAGCCAATCTATTTGGGATGAACTGAATTAAATTTAATACAATATTTGGATTAATATCTTCCCAGCAGTATAGTAGGTATAGTATAGTTGTATAGTTTCCCATAAATCCTCAGATATCTCAAAAAAGCAGCATCCTGTTCAGGGGTGGACATTTTGGGACGACCTGAACCAACTTTTTGGTTTAGTAAATCTTCCTGCTCCCAGCGTTGCTTAATTTTTAATATAGATTTTTTATTTCTATTATACCACAGTACGAATTGACCATTCTTCTTCGATTTTTGATACTATTTGAGCCTTTTTAACTGACGAGGCATTTTTATTTTCTACTGTCAGTTATAGTGACTTAAGTCAGTGGAAAGCCGGTTTTACGCAATAATGTTGACAGTTTTCTCTCATTCTAATTCTTGTACGCTTTTTTAATGAATACAACTGTATTAAGTTTTGTAAACGCCATTTTAGTTACGAGTTTAATTAAGAACGAGCAAAGCTTGCGAGCGAGTTTTTAATAAAAACGAGTGCCTAAAGAAGTTTATAAAACGAGTTGCATACTATACTTTATCTACGACGAACATAAATAAGATTTTTAAGTCAATTTTTTTTCTTAAACATTTGACATCCGTCAACTGTCAACGGATTTAACCTCACTTTTCCCCAATTAATATTAAAGCCAACTTCAGCCAGTGACTAAAATGACCAAAAGCAACTGTTGCTAACTTCAGCCCGTGACTAAAACGCCATAAAGTCAAAGCTTATCAATGGTGGAGTAGATAAAATTAATTAAAATATTTGATTGAAAAATTAACAAGAAACTTGAAAATATTGACTTTATGTAGGTATAGGATATGTTATAGCCATTCACTCAGAATTTTAAGCAAAAAGTCTATTTTCAAATGGTAAAAATGGCAAAAACTGTAAATTGAGGGTGTCAACATTTTTTTTTATTCTGGTTAAAATAAAAATAAACATTTATGGGTTATATGGGTTGCCTATACACACAAATGTTTGTATTAGTAATATGCACTGTTTCAATGAATATTCCAAATTAATTTTTTGTACCTGTGCTAAAATATGCCCTAAACCATGACCTCGAATCTCTTTGGGAACAGACGTGTGCACCAAATGATAAACATTCCCATATTTTTCGTACAGAACAAAAGCATCCGCACCATTTAAATTAATTAGTAATTTTTGTTGTCTAGAATCGTTTTTAAGGGGATTCTCTAATAACTTTTGCCGCAGATTTTGTGCACTCAAACGGGTCATGGTCCGTATTTTAATCATTTTAAGTGTGAAGAATACTGTAAAATTTGTGCTAGTAATAAGAAACAATGTTATATATTCTTTACTTACGTAAAAACCGGGTATTTTGGGTAAAAACAATTTGACGTTCGTGTTGACACTACAATCAAAACAAAAACACACGCGCCATCTGTGGAGTAATGCAAGAAGTAAGGTATTACAGGGAACTGTAAGGTGTAAATAATTAAAAACACATGTAAACTGGGTTGCATATAGACAAACTAAGAAATTGTTTAAAATTTTATTAAATCAAGCGACTTTCTAACATTTTTCTTGCGAGCTGAACACTGCAGTGTACACGATGACCCCGTCGTTGGGGTAGGGTTGCTCGCTAAAAAATTTTGGCGGGGCACAATATTTATTTTTGACTTTTTGATCGTCATCATTGTCTTCTTCGTTCTCATTTTCATCTATGGGCGTGTTTTCTGACGTCAAAATTGCGTCGTTCGAGAGTAAAATTTCTTCGTAGATTTTTTTGTTCTGAAAATACGTTTTTGTATTGGTAATTGCAGGTTATTTAACTTTAAGGTTAAAAGTATTATCAATTTGTAATCTGGGTTGCCAACATTCATTTGTCTTAGTATTCAAGAGGAATTTACCTTTACCCTTTGGGTAATTACATAAAATAAGGGCAAACGCCCAATAGTTAGGGTCTTCAATTTGAAAAAATAAATGTGTGTGGAATTATTGAGGCTAAATCATCTCAAAAATGTGCAAAAAACAATCCCCCTCCCCACCGGTTATTTTTAGAGGACGGTCAATATTTAGAATTAGCCATTTTTGGGATCAAACTTTAAAAATTCATAGTTTTCGACTGTACTGAGATAACGATTTTAAATAAGTTGCAGCATTTAGAGTAAGCATGGGGCCTTAATACAAATTTGAAGCCATCTCAATATTCTCGAATAATAAGGCCTTTTGGATTTTTTAAAATTGTTGTATTTTTTTCAAAATTGACCATGTTTAAAAAACTATATCTGCCTTATGACACCAAAGGTCTCAAAACCCAAGGGATAAATCATTGCGATAATCCATGTTGATAATAATTTTAATCTAAAAGTTTTTCAAAGGTTAAAGGTTATAGGTAAAATTTCTTTTTTTTAATTACTGTTTTAAAAATATACTCATTTTTGCAATATTTTGAGGTTAATTATCTCAAAACTATATTTTTTTATTTTTATCAAATAGGCCTTATTATTCTAAGTAAACATAGCTCTTTCGTAATCAAAAATAAAAAAGTTGTGTATTTTGGTGTGATGGTATTTTTTTCAATTAGGAACATTTTGATGTCCCAATATATGCAAGGTCCAATTTAATCATATTTATAGAACTGAATAAGAAATAAATTAATTATGTATGTAAAGCTAGTATCTTGTATTCACCTTTTCAGCTTTTTCTCAAACGCACGTTGTCGACACTAAAAATTTTATATAACTTTTTTTTAAACAAATCTATAAAACATTATAGAAATTAATAGAAAATAACAAAAAATTGGAATATAATTAAACCCTCAAAAATGTTATCACCCTAATTTTAATAAAACAGAAACCTAAAAAATCTCTGAAAAAATTTTAAAAAATGCTAAAAATTATTAAATAATAAATAAATTAATTCTTAAGAAAAAATAATAAATATCAACAATAGTACAATTCAAAAAACGTTACTTCAGTTTTTTACTAAGCATGCGACATTCCAACTTTTTTGTTTGAGTTCTTATTAGAATAATTGTTATTGTTATTGTTATTGTTTTTCAAGGAAGATTTTTATTTTTCAAGTCAGTTTGCATTTAAATATCGTGCCAGTTAGAGCTAAGTACATTAAAAATGGAGTGTTCGGTTGGAAAAATAGTTGGTGAAGTGTGTCATAAAACCAAAATTTTTGATTTTGAGAGCAGCTTTTCGGATGAAGACAAAGATTTATTACGTATTCGCGTGGGACAGTCAATAGAAAATATATGCATCTTCCATAAGGACAGGTACCTTACCTATTATTCTACCTGGTTTGGAAAATCCTGTTGCGATCCCTTCAAAAGGCACAAATCAAAAATTAAAAAATCTCTCCGTATTCTTGGCAATACCTTCTGCCAAACACAAAAAAATATACATTTAGTACCCGGAAATGCTATTTGCCTGAACTGCCTAAAAAAACTTAAAAAATTCAAAGACGGAGACAACGAAGAAGATTGGCAAGATAATAATGATAGTATTATTATTGATGACATTGACGACGATTTTATTCCACCTGAAGAGTTTAAGAAAGAGGTATCAGAAATATGCAAATTGTTAAGAATTGAAGAGATTGGCCTCTCAAGTACTATTAGTAAAAAGGCAATTGAAAAAAAAGCTTGCGAAGTTAAACAAGTATTTAAAAAGAAATGCTTAAAAGTTTTAAATTTAAGTGACTCTGAAGAAGAGCCAGATGATGATGAAATGGGCCGAAATTATATTAGTCTGGTGAAGGAAATTAAAAAGACGATTCCTACACTTGATTATGAGAATAAAATAAATATTATAAGCTTAGCACCAAAATCGTGGTCCCTTAAACGAGTTGCAACTGAATTTAATATTTCTGAAAAAACCGTGAGAACTGCTAGAAACCTGTCAAAAGAACATGGCATTTTTCCTAAAAGTCGTCAAATAAATTTAAAAGGCAGACCATCTATTTCAGAGGAAGTGCATACTACAGTGCTTGATTTTTATCAACAAGATGATGTTAGTAGGCTTTGTCCAGGAGCAAAAGAGTTTACCTCTGTAAGGGATGAATCTGGAAAAAAAGTCCATAAGCAAAAAAGGCTGCTTCTTTTCAACTTGAAAGAATTATTTTTAATGTTTAAAGAGGAAAAATCCTACATAAAAATAGGATTTTCAAAATTTTGTGCACTTCGACCTAAATGGTGTGTACTTGCAGGTGGGGCTGGCACCCATACAGTATGTGTGTGTCTTTACCATCAAAATTTGAAGCTTTTATGTAACGTGATATCAAAAAGTGTAAAGTACACTACTTTTATAGAAGCTACAGTCTGTGACGTAAACAATGAAAACTGTATGTTTGGAGAATGCAAAGAATGCCCTGGTAAACAAAAATTGGAACAGCTTTTGTCAGAAATGGTTGATGATGGAAATAAAACAGTGGTATACAATCAATGGATTTCAACTGATAGGTAAGTATTTTTTTTCGCAAAACTCGTTTTTTACAAGTGTAGCTTTGCCAGGAGTCAATCTTATATGAGGCTTTTTTAAGTGTGCTTTTTTTTTAGGTGCCATATGAAGCAGATACAAGAGAAATATTCTGAGTTTCTGGAGACTTTCAAGGAGCAAGTGCTTAAAACAAAAGAACACCATTTTGTCGCAAAATCACAAGGAGCTTTTTTAAAACAATTAAAAGAAAGTTTGGGTGAAGGTGAATTTATAGTTTTGTGTGATTTTGCCGAAAATTATTCATTTACAGTTCAGGACGAAGTTCAAAGTTTCCACTGGAACACTTCCAGTGCCACACTCCACCCTTTCGTTATTTATTACAAAGATATTTCAGATACCATTCAAACTCAATCTTTTTGTGTGTTAAGTGATGTCAAAAACCATACCACCTTGGAGTTTGCAGTCTTTCAAAAATACTTTATTCAGTTACTTAAAACCAGATTCCTTTGCATCAAAAAACTCTTTTATATGACTGATGGATGTGCTGGTCAATATAAGAATAAAAAAAATTTTTTGAATCTGTATTATCATGAAGAGGACTATTTGTTGGAGGCCGAGTGGCACTTCTTTGGAACATCTCATGGCAAAAGTGCCTGTGATGGTGTAGGGGGCACTGTAAAGAGGGTTGTTCGAAAAACCAGCCTCCAAAGAACAAGTAGCAATCAAATTCTAGATATTGATAGTATGTTTAATTTTTGTCACGAATATATTAAAGGTATTTCTTTTTTGTTGATAAAACAAGAAAAATTAGACATTGAAAAAGATTTTTTTGATAAACGGTTTCAATTAGCTTTACCTATAAAAAATACCAGAGCACATCATGGATTTATTCCGCAAAAAGATAATTTGTTAAAAATTAAAAAATATTCTAATTCAAATTTATTCACTATTGTTAAGGTACAAAAGTGAACTAAAACAATTTGTTTTTTTATTTTTACAGTTTTACATTTTTGGTTTTGTTGGGTTGCTTTGTTGGATTAGTATTTTTTTGCAACCACAGAATAAAATTTTAATTTTTTTCCAATAAATTTTTCTTTGGTTTTAACAAAATTAATGTGTTAAGGCCTAATACTTTTTTCTTGTTTGTTGTTTAAATAAAACTTATTTAAAAATATTTTGTTACACTTTTTTCCTATATTTATGAAGGTTTTTCAAAACTGACAGCGTGTGCAGGCAAAATTTTGAGGAATATGCGAAAAATGTAAGTATAAGATATTAAATTTGAGTTAATAATAAATTTATTTCTAATTCAATTCAGTAAGTATATTTCAATTGGGCCTCGAGTATATTAGGATATCAAAATGTTCCTAATTAAAAAAAATTACCATTGCACCAAAATACACAACTTTTTTATTTTTGATTACGAAAGAGCTATGTGTACTTAGAATAATGAGGCCTATTTGATAAAAATAAAAAAATATAGTTTTGAGAAAATTAACCTCAAAATATTGCAAAAATGAGTATATTTTTAAAACAGTAATTAAAAAAAAGAAATTTTACCTATAACCTTTCACCTTTGAAAAACTTTTAGATTAAAATTATTATCAACATGGATTATCGCAATGATTTATCCCTTGGGTTTTGAGACCTTTGGTGTCATAAGGCAGATATAATTTTTTAAACATGGTGAATTTTGACAAAAATACAACAATTTTAAAAAATCCAAAAGGCCTTATTATTCGAGAAAATTGAGATGGCTTCAAATTTGTATTAATGCCTCATGCCTACTCTAAATGCTGCAACTTATTTAAAATCGCTATCTCAGTACAGTCGAAAACTATGAATTTTTAAAGTTTGACCCGAAAAATGACTAATTCTAAATATTGACCGCCTTCCAAAAATAAACGGTAGGGAGGGGGATTTTTTTTGCATATTTTTGAGATGATTTAGCCTCAATAATTCCACACCCAATTTTTTTTTCAAATTAAAGACCCTAACTATTGCGCGTTTGCCCTTATTTTATGTAATTACCCCTTTGTGCCAATTTTGGGTTACCCAGTATTCACATAATTTATTCATTAGAAGTTTATGGAGAACGAAAAAAGATATCGATTTGACATTTGTATAGCAATTATAAGGCAATGTAAACTATTTTATTATTATTATTACCTATTTTATTTTATACACAAAATAATGTTTTCTATTGAAATACTGCAGCAGTCTTTATGGGACAATTCCGAAAACGCTTCTTACTTTCTTAGTGGGGTTAAATTGGGAAACCTACCTATTATTAAAAGTTCTTATTGTTCTTTCTAAAAACTTTTCCGCACTCGCCATATGTATAAGTAAAAGATGTTTAGAATATCTTGATTACACTGCAAACGAGAAAATATTGACTTTGTGGGAAATGTAGACTTTATTCAATGTTGTGATCAGAGCTGTCAGAAAAAAGTATCTTAGTTACTTAAGAGTAACTTAGTTACTTTAAAGTATCTAAGTTACTGTATCTTAGTTCCTTTAGTTTTTAACAAAAAGTATCTAGTATCTTAGATACTTTTTAAAAGGAACTGTATCTTGTAACTTAAAAAAAGTATCTTAGATACCGAAAAGTATCTTAGATACCAAAAAGTAACTTAGATACCAAAAAGTAAAGATACCACAAGAAAAGTTCCTTTAGTCAAGTTGTTCGAAACGGCCGCGGCCATCGAATTCGAATAACTTAAGTTATTATAATAAGTATACTGGCGACTTCAGCGACTGGCGCCAATCGACTGGCGGCGATTTTTGTTATACCTACTTAATTTTTATTCACCTATACTTCTTTTATAATCTGTGACTTCGCCACCCGCTCTGTAGAAGGGTGTTTCCCTTCGTTGCGACTTGAATTTATAGTGGTAAGTCTGAAATAAGTTAGGTTAGGTAAGTACTTGCACTTGCTTCTTTATGATGTACTGATGTAGGATATTGGTTGTTACATTGTACCGTACATTCTATAATGTTAAATTTATGTTTTCAATTTTAAATTTTAAAAAAATGTTAAAAAAGATTAAATGAAAAGTGTGAGATAATTTTTTTTATTTTTATAATTAAGTAGTGTTTAATTAACGATTTTATCTCTTTTTATTTTTAAGATATTTTAAAAGTGCCTAAGTTAGACACTTTTTGCATTAGACCCTTCAATGGTTTTAATCAACTAGATTTTATTGAAAAAAATTGTTAAAAAAGTAAGCTTAAAATTATTTGAAAAATCAGGGTGGGGTTGGAACGAATTTTTGTTAGGTGGTTTATACGAAACTTATTACATAATATACAAAGTAACTAAAAAAGTATCTTATTAAGTATCTTAAAAAGTAACTTAAGATACGTATTTAAGTTCCTTTTTTTAAAGAGTAACTAGATACCCAAAGTAACTTCGGATACTTTTTCAAAAAGTAACTTAAGTTAAGATAATTATCTTGTATCTAGATACTTTTTAAAAGTATTTTTGACAGCTCTGTCTGACATATTTGAAAATATTCTCAAAAGCTTCCTAGAAGCTCCATAAGAAACCTTCTAAGAACATTCCAAAAACGTATTCTTAAAATGTTCTTAGGATGCTTTTTAGGAAGGTTTTAAGAAGCTTTTAAGAATCTAATTGCATCATTAAAAGGGTATCTATTGAATGTTTTAAAAGTCCCTAAGAACATTCTTAGCAATAAGGGAAGGTTCTAAGAATATTCCGTTATTCCGGGTCATATCTTCTTAGAAGATTCTTAAAATTAAATTTTGCTATGAATACATTAACTTTGACTGTAAACACTTCAGAGAGGTATTGAGAAGTATTCAGCACCTCCTTCATAAACTTCTAATGAATAAATGAATAAATGTAAACTTAATACTTACAACCGCATCCTTTAAAGGGATAATGATACTGGGAGGAGGATCTGTAAACGGTTCTCTAACTTTATTACATTGCAACATGAGCAAAATGAAAATCATATAGTCTTTGCGAATTTCCAGCTCATTTTGGTCTTTTTTTAATTCGTTCAATCTGTCGAACCACTTTAGAAGTACAACACGTTCTAAAATAAAAGAAACATAAAATTTTTAACATCTGATTTTTTTAAAATCTTACCATGGTAAGGTGCAACCTGTACCAAAGCTCTGGCGAGCATGTTATTAAAGTAGAAATTTTCTGTTAAGGCTAAATTTGCCTTCGACATTTTTAAAAACTAAAAATTTATCTCACAGTCCCGAAAAAAAAGTCAAATTAATTGACAAATATTTCTATGGGGAATTTAGAGTTGACAAGTTGGTCAAAGTGTTATTGAAATCAAAACCATCAAATCAGACATTACTTAAAATTTTTCCGTACTTTTTCGAAATATTAAGATGGACTCTCCATGCGGTCTAAAATTTTGCAAGAAAAAAGATTTCGCGGCTCAAAAAAGCGAGTCTAACAACCAAGTCACCGATCCCAACAATCTAAGCGAAGAACTCATAGAGAAAAACGAAATGATTGTGAAACATATAATTTTATTGAAACGAAAACGAAATGAGATGATTGACGAGTACACAAACTACAAAAACGGGAACTCAGATTTACATGCCGATATAGAAAGGCTCACCTATAAGGTCCAATTGGTAAGGTCCTTTATATTGCCAACATACACTGTTTAAAATATCTGTGGTGTAAAGACTGATCTTAAAATGGTGTCAAAATCCAACACCAAGTGGTGTTAATATAAACACCATGAATTATGGTTGAAAATGTTATATACAGCAAACACCAAAACGGTGTTTATCTAAAAATATTTGAGAAATGCACCAACACAGACAAAAAGGAATAGTTCATTTAACTATATTAATTTAGTTGACCCATAAGTATTTATTTAAATCAACTGTGGAAAGGTTAATATAAACAAAGATTAGTTTGACGGTACTAAATCAGATACCTTTTTTTTTTAATTGGTTAAATTAACCCAGAAACCAACCCGATCTATGGTTCAGTTTACTAAATATGTTGTTTGTAAAATAAGAGTTACTTCAACCTAAAGCACTCTGTTAAAACGATTAAAACAATTTGACGTGCATTCCTGGTTGCATAGTGTGTACCGATCGCGGCAAAGGCGGTGTGGATCACGTGATGTTCTTAAATCTCGCCTCTGTTGACTTACATGAAGAGTAGGGTGGGCCGAAAAAATTATTTTTTGAATTCAATTTAGGGGTACCAAAAAAAAGTTTCTGTAAAAAAAAATTTAGCATACTAGCCCAATATTTAAGGGTCCCCCTGGGGGCCCAAAATATTATTTTTTTATATTTTGTTCGGGGTGGCAACAAAAAGTTACATTATGTTGACAATATATTGACAATTATAATTGTAGAAAAAAAAATTAGCGTACTAGCCCAATATTTAAGGGTGCCCCGGGGGCCCAACATTTTTTTTATATATTAATTGGGGTAGCCACAAAAAGTTACCTTACACAGCAAACGGAAAATTATAGAGGTGTATAGGATGACGCCACGTTTGAATATCGTTTTCTAAATCTCCCTACGGTATAGAGTTGTATTCGTCAGTCGAGCGTTTCAATACTCTCCACAGTATAGAGGTCGTAATTTCACTTTTGAACTAGTATTAATATAAAAATTATTTTATGCTTAAAAAAAACTATATACGACATGATTGTGATTTTTTTCATTTTATTAATTAATTAAGCTGTGTTGAATATTTTTCCTAAAGGAATAATTGCCAATGGGCCATTAATTCATTTTTTCGTAGATGCTACAATAACCTGCACTGGTGTGTACTTTTTCATCAACCAGATTTAAATATTACAAAACCAACATATACCAGTGGAGATAGTGCAGGGTCTACCAACAGACCTAATTACTAAATTATTAAAGTTTAATAGCATATCGATCATTTATTCAACATAACCTCTGAAATTTTTAATACAAATATAGGTACTTTATATAATACATAAATATACTTAACATCATATCATCTGTGCTTTACATACCTGAGTTGTTACGGTAAATAAAAATCAGACAAAGGAACCAAAGAAAGGAACTATTTTCAACAAAATCATATGCAGAAAGGAGAAAATTCAAACTACTTGCATCCATCAAAAGATCAAAACTTCTTGCAATATTACACGCTCTTTTTATACTCTCAGAAATATTGACTAGAACAGTATTAGAGAGACACCAGTTTCTATAACTTGGTAGAGTAAAGAGAAGTCGAAACCGTTGCGATATTGCATTGCGCTGTTTTTGTATAATTCTCGGGGACATTAACGAAAATCATTGCCAGTAAAATTCGAAAAGCTTGAGTTTCTATGTCTCTGAGGAGAATAGGAATCCGAAGTTGCTGCACCATTGGACTGAACCCTTTTTTAATAATTTCTAGAGACATAAATGACTGCACCATTCGACAGGGTCGAGTTTCTATCTCTCTGTTGAATATAGAAAATCAAAATAATGTATCTTGTAAGACACCATTGAGTTTGACTTTAAATATAGTCGTGCATAGGTATAGAGCCGAAAAATATAAAAACAAAGCACGATTCAATACAGTTATGATAAAACTTTAAGATTTGATATTCAAACGCGGAGTCATCCTATACACTTCTATAATTTTTCGTTTGCTGTGTATTTTAACAATACGTTTACAAAAAAATGTCCAATATTAGAATTTGACGTAAAAAATTTGGCGGTTTAGCAAATTCTAGGGTTAAAAATGTTTATAAATTTGGAAATGTTTTTTTAAAATAAAATAACTAAAAATATTTATAAGTCAAGCAAGACTTCTATATAAGGTTCCGCAAGTTTCCCTTTCACACGCAAGCGGTGGAAAAGTGTGTGAAGCTTGTAACAGAAGCTGCATTAAAAATTTGCTGTGAGGTAGCAAGATGCGCGGACATCTTTACCGGCCTATATGACAACAAGTCTCAATATTATTTAAATAATAAAAAAAAACTGGGGGGAGGGAGCGGATGGAACTCGAGGAGCAAATATCCAATTAATTAATAATAATAATAATAATAAAAATGCTTTATTGCGTAAAACACAAAATTAATTACACAAAAGGCTGCGTTCGTAAGGACGTTCTTCCATACCACCTACTAAGAAATTAAATCTTCTGCATATCACATATTAATTAAACTAAATCCTATAATTTCATACTATTTACTTAAGTTTTAAATATCACACCAGTTAATAACAAATTTTTGTACTCTAAATTAAATGTGTTTGGATATTTAAATATTATGTTAAAGAATGTTTTATCGTTCAAAAGTTCTATAGATAGGTCTATAAACGAATCCTTAGATTTTAAAGTTTTGTGACTAGGTATTTGAAAAAGATTGTGTCTTAAATTAAGATTGTATTTATTGGATCTTTGAATAAAGTTGTTGAATAGGTATTCAGGCAATTATTAGGTATTTACTTTCTGAACTAATTTTCCAAAATTATGCTTGTTTTCCACATATATTGAAGTAATGGGGTCAAATTTTCCGACTAAATATATGAATCTAATACATGAGTTTATTTTTAAATGTTTCAGTATGATATGAGTAGTAGACTGGCATGCAATAGTCTATAATAGGGTGTATATTAATGTCATATAATACAAACTAAGTTGTCTTGTAACATGGCTTTCAAAGTTTAGGTTTGTATAAAAAATAACACCCAGATTTCTTGCTGTTTCTTGCTGAGGTATTTCTATATTATTTATATGTATGGTAATAAAATTATATTGTTTTGATATATTTATCATATATACTGTACCAATATTTATTACAAGACTCTTTTTGGCATTTAACTGAAGTCTATGATTAACTGACCAAGCATTTACTTCTTTTAAGACTTTATTTATTTCGATAGTGGTTGAGTTAATTAATTTAGAGTAACGCAAAATCTTTTTTAAATTTAATAAAATCAAGCTAAGAGTTGCTAATTTTTTTCATCAAAAGGCGTCTTAATAAAATAATAAAAAAAACTTAGACTGATACAGACATTTGGTTTGTCTATGCAATAATACATGGGGTAAATTTATGTTGCCATCTCAATTAAAATATATGTAAAAAAATTTGGGCCCCCCAGGGCACACTTAAATATTGGGCTAGAATGGCTATTTTTTTCTAAACATACTGTTAACATGAGGTTACTTTTTGTGGTTACCCCAAATAAAATATGAACAAAAAATATATTTTGGGCCTCCGGGGCACCCTTAAATTTTGGGCTAGTACGCTCATTTTTTTTAGAATTACTGTTAATATAAGGTAACTTTTGTGGTTACCCCAATTAAAATATGATAAAAATAAATATTTTGGGCCCCCGGGGCACCCTTAAATATTGGGCTAGTACGCTCATTTTTTTTTCTAGAATTACTGTTAACATAAGGTAACTTTTTGTTCCCACCCCAGTCAAAACATACAAAAAAAAATATTTTGGGCCCCCGGGGGACCCTTAAATAATGGGCTAGTACGCTACATTTTTTTCTAATAAATTACTTTTAACATAAGGTAACTTTTTATTGCTACCCAAAAATAAATATCTCAAATATTTTTTTTTACGTTTTTCGGCCCACCCTAATGAAGAGTATATAAGCTCAGGTAGTCCTTTGCTTTGGTGTGACACTACAAGTTGTTCGATACTAAAGAGACCTTAAATAGGTGGAAACAGCTGTATTTTAAGTTGGTGGAACGCACAAAAAACATTATCTCTAGCGAGTTGAAGGTTCAACTTTCTGGAATAATACCTCTGGTAATATACTAGCAGGGCCGTAGCGAGGCTGGTGCAGGCGGTGCGGTGCACCAGGGCCCCCGACCTCAAAGGGGCCCCCAAAACTAAAAAGTTTTACTAAAAAATCGTAATTTTCGATATCCTATCCTATCCTAAAGTTTTGCACCGGGGCCCCTGAGTCCGTCGCTACGGCCCTGTATACTAGTAATGCGTCAAGGAACTTCCTGTTTCCTTTTTTTCTGTGTAGTATGATTTAATTTAACCAAAAACACATAATCACTGAAAACGAGTTCTATTAACACCAGGTAAAATTTATTTTAATACTGTGTGAAAGTTAAATTTACACTATTTTAGTATTTGAATTTACACTGGACCAACGAACCATATTTAACACCATTTTGTTTATATCGATATAGACCATGTATGGTGTTAATTTGGTGTTAAAATGGTCATGAAATTTTGAACAGTGTATGTACCTAAAATTTTTTGAAACAAGCACCATAAACATATTGTGTATCGTGACTACGAGGGTTGCTACACTGAAAAAAAAAATTCTTGTATCAAATAAATTTATTTGATTCAAAACAATCTTTGTCTCATATATAACGGAGAGAATATATTCTTTAAAATAGTAAAGTATTTTTTTAATTCACGTTGATTTACTTCAAGAATCTTTTCTTAATGTAAGAAAATTAAATTTCTTTAAATAAAACTTTGATTGTTTAAAAGCGAGAATATATAATTTTTGAAATATGGCAGCAATATTTACTTTATAAAAGAAAATGTATTTTCTTTAACCAAATAATTGGTTGTTTTAAAGCAAGAATATGTTCTTTTAAAAATAAATTAGTGGTATTCTTAAATAAAAAAGATACTTAATTCAAGGATATATTTTCTTAAACAAAAACATGTGATATTGAAGTAAGGCAAGAATTTTCTTAAATCAAGATGTTTTCTATACCCCAATATTTTTTTTAATTAATATATTCAATATTTAAACTCTTATTTCATTGATTACAAAATAATATTTATTTTAAAACAATGCAAGAAGTATCGTTAAAAATAAAATGTATATATCTTAATTTTAAGCTACTTTTAGCAATGTTTCAAAAAATCTATCATTTTGTATTTAAAATCAATAAAATTTTAAATAATGATACTACAAATTATTTATTTTAATAATAAAAACATCTTTATATTTAGGAATATTACTGAAATAAAAATACTTGAATTCCCCTTAAGGGGACTGGAGTAATTTTAAATATACCTACTGTAAGGATTGTTGTCTAATCTCAAACAAAACTTTATATCGTTTCTAGGTGGTGCAGTAAGCAAAATAATTTAGGTTAGAAAATAAAAAAACAAACGTTGAACAAACACATTTATTTTGTTTTTTATACAAGACAAATCTAAAATGTATACATTATTATAAATTAACGACATTTTATCGACATATTTTTCATTTTAATTAATTTGTAATATTTTAGGCATAGTAGAAAAGCAATTACCAATTTTATAAAATAATTTAGGGCTATTGCCAATGAACTCCGCCCTATATGAATCAAAATTAATGTTATACCCCAAAGTGTGTAACAAAATTACATAAAATAAATTTGGTTTATTATCTTAAAATTATATAGCCATGCAAATCAGAGTGTTAAACACATTAGATATTTTGGTTATGACTGCAAAGCCTATTTATTTATAAATAATAGTTATTTGTTTTACAAGTGTTGAAAAGCGACTTTTTCATGCGAGTTTTTAAGTTGCCCACGAGGCCGTTAGGCCGAGTGTGCATTAACACGAGCTTGAAGAAAGCTTTTCTCACAAGTATAACACAATGTTTTTTCTGCGACCCTTTTATTTTTTATTATTTTTAAATACAAAACAAAATAACCTAAAAACTTTTTTGACAGCTGAATGTCAAACGATGCTTTCCGGTTCTTTTCACACAGACCTGTCACTTTTCACATAGAAATGTCACTTTACATTCGTGTTTTGCCTTGCCAATGAAAAGATTAATTTTCTAAGCAACAATGCCATCATGAAAAGTGACTTTTACATAGTGGTCGTAGAAAAAATAATTTTAACGCATCCTTAATGCATATTAGTAAATATTTAAACAATAAACCTAACTACATACACGTAAATGCGACGCTGATTTTAAAAAAGGGTGGTATATCAACAACAACTTACTTACCAATTTTTTTTATAATTTCCTTCGATGCTGACCAGAGATGCTGACCATTCTTCTAATAATTTTTTAATGAAATACGCCCTCTCCCTCACAAAGAGAAAGAATCACTGCATGATTAGGCATAAAATTTCAGAGGAACGTGTCGGCATCTCCACTCCTACACGATTTCAAAAATATGTACTCTTGGCAAAAGAAAATACTGTTTATAAAAACGAATAAAAAAATTTAAGAATATCTAATTCTTAATTTTAAAAATAAATAAATAAAAAAATAAGAATATGTTATTCTTGATATAAAATATATTAACAATTGTACCAAGAAACCAACTAAGATTTCCTTCAAGAATATTTAATATTTGGATTGAAACATGCAACTTTTTAAAACAAGAAAAGTTAAATATTTTTAGTTGAAATATATATTCTTATTTTAAAGCAAGTTGACTTGAATTAAAAAAATATTTTCAAGATGATAGGTACCTATCCTAAATATAAGAAATCTTTTTTTTTTCAGTGTAGGTTTTAACTTTCGTACGCTGTCTTCATTTTTCGGCTTAACACCCTGTATAAGAGATTTTTTCTAGATTAGTAAGAGTTTGGCGCAGAGAATGAAGGCTAAAACGCTGTACGATAAAACGTTAAGGGAAATCGAAACGAAATATTCAGAGTTGGTTCAGCATTCGGGAAAGCTTTTGGATGCTGTGGAAAAAGAAATAAACGAACTCCAAAGTTCAATGCCGTAAATATCCTACCAAATCTGCGTTTAATACGTTGTACGCTCTAGTATGAAGCAGGAATTAATTTTTGTGATATTTTCAATTGGATAAAAAATATCACATACAAATTTTCATTCTGCGAATTAATAATATCATAGCAGATGTTTTAAAATTAGATTTAATTTTTATGCCAAACTGATATTTTTAATTTATCAAATTTAAAATATTGACACATAAGAATAATTTCTGAATGAAAAATAACAGTAGTTTACAAAATCAAAAAAAAATTCTGCCCACCATATCTCATTATAATTTTCCCCACTAAACACGAAAATCACAGGTTTTTTAAATAATAATTTTTAATTGTTTTTTTTTCAATTTTCGGAGGTTTTTTGACGTTTTTTAGTATTGCTTGAAATATAATTGATAGATTTGATCAAACAAGCCCTTAAGGTAGTAGTCGTGGTACAATATTGTCAAAAAATTTTAGATTATACGCACCGTAAAAGTATACGAGCTTGTAGCTAAGTGATTCATAATTTTTTCGCAAGACTGTACCCTGGAGACGCTACCTTTACGTAATACTTTCAAATATTTTCATAAGTTTTAATCCGGCAACGTCGCTTATGCTCAACCAATAGATATATTGGAGACTGAATCAGTCTGTTTGAATTTACTGCGGAAATAATATGTATACTCGCGTAAAGCGTTGCCAAGTTGTTTTTATCTGCAGATATACATCACTAGTGTCATGACACTAGTGATGTATACTTTTTACAAATTGTTGAACTTTAAACGGTTATTTATAAACAATTGGACGGTCAAAAATTTTTAATTAATTTTTTTTAAACTCAGCAAAAATAGTTTTTTGAAAGCTTCTGACAGTTTTTTTTATATCTAAGAAACTGGTACAGAACTACAGAAAGCGTATACAATCCATGTTAATTATCCAATTTTTAATTGAATTTATCTCGGGTTATAGACTGTTAATCGACTTCAAATTTTAAGGATAATTGTATTGTCATGTCCTTAATAAGTATAAAAAATTTAAAATATTCTGATGGTATGTTTACAGCACGACAACTACCATAAATTGAAGGTAAAACTTTCTTTTACATACTTTTGATATCAGATAAGTATTTTGACGCTAGCGATTTTAATAACTTAAAAAATTTGTTTTTATGGCAAAAATTTACATATCGTCCTGGTAAAGGTTTAAACCAAACACATAACTCCAGTTTGAATTTTTTTTCGTGAAGCTGACATTTTTACAAAAAAACAAGCTAATCTTGATAAAAATACATGGAAAAATGGCGAAGTTATGAATTTTTTAAGTGGAAGACCAAAATTCAGGTTTTTGACGATTTCTATTTTATTTTTTTTCACGTACTTTTTTCACCGAAAACATTATTCAAAATTTAAATTTGACATGACTCCGCAAACGTGAATTCTTTTGTTTCTCGTTTTGGCATAGTGGCAGTTTACTGAATATTTTTTGATATTTCAACAAGGTATTCTTATCATGGTTTAATTTAGTTAATAAAAAGTGTAAAATAAGTAAAAGAAGTAGAGAGTTCGAGTGCGTAAATAACCCGCACAATCTGGGCCACGTAAGTGATGAGCACGGAGAACGTTTTCACCAGCAAATGAGCGGCGGTATCACGGCTTCTGGGATGCAGCCATGATGGGTGATTACATTTCGTCCCTCATACGAGAAACGGAATACGAAAGCAACAAAAAACAAAGAAGTAGCTAGAATTTGTTTAAACCTATGCTTATTACAACAAAATAAAACTTTCAATTTCTTCAATGTTCAATATTAATTGTTTAATATTCAATATATTATTTGATTTAAATATTTAATGTTTAAAATAAAAATCAATCTTCAATATTAAATTTTATATAATTCAATAAAATGAAGAAAAAACGTAAAAATTCTCGAAAAACTGAATTTTGCTCTTCCACTGAAAAATTTATAACTTCGCCATTTATCCATGGATTTTTATCAACAGCAGCTTATTTTTTTTCTTTAAGTATAATCTATGAATTATCTTTTCGATTTCTATCTTTCCCAGAAAGACATGTACATTTTTGACCTTGATTTTTGTAGTGAGCCAAACTACACAAGAAAATCATAGTGGGACATGGTGGGCAAAATGGCTGTAAACTAGTGTAATGCTTCTTTTTTTTCAAAATTTTAAGAACAATAAAATGCTTCAAAACCGTTAATACTTTTCAGAATAAAAGATGATAAATGCCTCCCGAAAGAGAACATTGTGGCGAATATTAAACTAAATTGTCTCGAAATGGCCGAATGCTCGCAAAAGCTCGACAGGGAAAACTTGACGAAAGATCGCATCTGCTGTTACGACGAAGTGCCAGTGCGGGAAAGTGCCATTTCCACCCCTCAGCAGAGAGAAAGTCAGAACACCAATAAACGGTGAGTACACGATGTAATGACTTCAGCATTACCAACTTTCAATTGTAAAGTTACTGCCGTTAAATTTGGTTTTTTAAGGCGTACCCAATTCTGATGTGTTATAAAAAAAATATTATTCATTACCTAATGATTTACTGGTTATTGCATTTCTTATGATCACATGACAATTATTTATTTTCAACAAAATTAATTATTATAAAAAAACAGGACCCACGCCGTATATGACGTCACTTCCGTCTCGGTTCGTTTTTTCTAGGATTATTAATAATTAATTATTTCTCTCTTGAATCTTAAAACGTTCTCTTCCACTTAATCTTTAAATTTGAATCCTCCTCATTTGACCTTTAAGCCATTTCAGGTAATGTATCTGTCAAAGTATAGTCAACGAAAGACATCATATTTATATGTTTACCGCTTATGTTTAAGTGTTAAAAATTAATAAATCTTTATAGTATCACAATATTTTCGACAAAATTATTATAAAAAAACAGGGCCCACACAGTATATGACGCCACTTCCGTCTCGTGTCGTTTTTTCTGTGTTTATTAATTATTATCTATCTTAAAACGTTCTCTTCCACTTAATCTTCGAATTTGAATTTTCGACTCAAGTAGAGAGCATACAATATTCAGTTTTACATAGCCCAAATACCTACACGTAAGGCAGAATGAATAACATTCATCAGCACAAGATTTGAACTCTTGACTCAGGTGCAGAAATCAGAACATACATCAACTTTGACTGTGAATATTTCAGAGAGGTATTGAGAAACTTAATCCATTGAGAAGTATTCAGCACCTTGATTTCCTATATCAAATTCCTATTCATCACAAAATATTCAATGACTACCCAAGCAGCATTTTTGGTTCCAAAAACCATTGCCAAAGTGGTGATAACTTTAAATTAGTTAAGTATACTAAACAGCTACTTTAATTTTTACTTTAAAGTAATTCTTACTTTTAAATAGCAATATTTAGTAACAGAAACTTCATTCTTTCCTTAAATGGTTACTATAAAGTAATAAACATTTAAGTAAAACTTGGTTAACCCCAGAAGAATTTGCAACTTTAAAAAAGGTGTTATAAGTAAAAAAACATTTAAGTAAATTTAATTTGTAGCAGTTACTTTTGGTTGCTACCTAAAGATTACATAATAATTATTTTTCCTTTGTAGTCCCTTTGCAAGTTAAAATCTCGAAACTGGAACATGACTTAAAAACTACAAAGTTAATAACTTGAAAGTTATTATTTTAGTATTTGGAACGTTTATGGTACTAACCAAAACTACTGTAAAGTAAATTAAGGTGGAAAAAACTTTAAAGTAGCGAAAACTACCTCAAAGGAAAATGCTTCTTATCATTTTTTACTGTACAGTACCACGTGGTAATGTAAATAATAAATTATTTTAATTGTTTGTAAATGGTTGTTTACTTTTTAATAAATTATAATTTTGTTGGTAATAGACGGTATTAATAATTAAATAGAAAATTAGTATTAAATATTAAGATTTTTTTTATTTATAAACATTATTAAACAAATAATTTCTTTATACTTAAATATTGATGAAGCGCATTTATTTTACAAAAAATAAATTCATAAGTTCAACAGTAAAATTTAAAGGGTTTATAAATTTGCCTGCTTAATTAGACATTATATTGTTATTCTGGGAGTTATAAACTATAGTTTATAACTTCCTGGTATACCAGTACCTACATTTAATAAACGACGACATTGAAAATCTAAGTCCGTAGTGGTTCCATTTAAAAAAGGAGGGATAGTACACTCAAAAAAATATTTAGTAAATTTACACATCTGATCGTTGGTTATTTTGATGCCACGTATTTAAATGTATATGTACAAACATACTGTAAAACTACATATAATGTGTAAAAATGCAAAGGTCATGTAAATCTAAAATTTAGGAAAATAATAGTACAAGTACATTAAAAATTGTAAAAGCACATAAATTTAAGGATTTATTACATAATAATATGAAAAACTACATATTAATTTAAAAAAATACATAAATTGATGCTATTTTACTTATGTAAGTATGTGTGTACATGTTTTATATGGAACAACACATTTCTTAAGTAAAAAAACAGAAATAAATGTGTGTTTGGATGTGTAAAATTTCGTAAATTATTTTCAGTGTATAATCTAATATAAGTTTGACAAAGACAGTTAATGTAGAAGTAAAAACAAATAAATAAAAGTAATTATAACGCTCTAGCAACGATATTGGAACGTTCTAGTAGCGTAGCAGCTACGTTCCAAATATATTATATATATATTATTATTATATATTATACTATAGTAGCAGGGTTTATAGCTAGTGACATATTTGTTACCTTTTTGGAACTCAATAATTGTTCCCCACTTTAGTCGTAACTTAGTATTGAAAGATTAATATAAAGAGACCGGCGACTGTCGCAAAACACTTTTAAGTTTTTACAATAGTCCCATATACGTAACAAATACTTAAATTGTTGCTTGGGTATGAAGGTAAAAACATCCACAAGGTATAAGAGCAGCAAAGTATATAGCTGCGAATATAAAAGGTCAAATCTTGAATAGAACCATATTCAGGTCCATATATTAAATATTAAACTTGAATACGGACAATATTTTTTCATTTGCAGTGAATGTAAAATATCGTACCTACACCAAACTTAGTTGGGAAAAGTTGACTAATTTCTTTCCCAAACAATGTTTCTCTAGGTATATATATATTTTTGATTAATCGTTGTTTTATTATCTCAGGAGCAGCGAAGCTTCCAAAACGAGCCAAGACACGAAAAGTTCGCTCCGCAGCTCAGGCGAGTCAGCTTCGCCGTCAGGCTCCCAGGAAGCTAGTCAAGTAACGGAAGAGGAGGTCCATGTAACGGAAGAAGCTGCCGAGGAAGAGAAGATATCGGAAGCCAGGGACTTCTTCGGTTCTTCGATTCAGCTTGAAGAGGATAAATTGCCACATAAGCCGGCGGAGCCCAAAAGAGATAGCAACGGTAGAGCCAATAGGCTTTCATCGCTTAAATAAATTCTCCCAAGTAGGATTGTTATTGGAAATAAAAATGTATATTTTTTATTTTTTAATAATAAAAAATATAGAAAAAAAACTTATTTAAATATTATTTTTCGTTTATACTAAGTTTATTTATTTATTATAGGAGATATTTGTAATTCTTTTTAATTTTTATTTAAAAAAAGCAGATATTTTTAATTAAACTTGATGAAACTTTGGAATAAAAAATCCTAAAAATAGTTTTGAATTGCCCTATAGGATAATTGTCCTTAATGTAAAACATATTAATTGTCGAAAACCTAAAACTATCTCAAAACATCCCAGCTAGCAAGGTTACGTCATTAGGACGACATTTTAAGGTCACCTTTCGTCGGCGACGTCACATGACCAATAAAAGACGGGTTTATGACGTCACATTTCCGACGTCATTTAGACGTTTTTATGTTGCGTCTTTCTGACGTTTTCAATAGGTGATTTTATATCACGTAATAAATATATAATAATACGTATAATATAGTAGGTATAGATCGTACTACCTAATTTTTGAACACCCTGTAGATAAAATCCCAATTTTTTTGTAGATCAAAACTTATTTTTTTATCAGAAAAAAAATCCCTATCATCGATGACACGCAAATCCGTCTATGAACAAATAATTATCCTACAGGACAATAACGAAATACTATTTTAAACAAAATAGTTTTTAATTCTAAATTTAGTTTTACAATTTCATTGCTGTCAATACCTATATAGGTATTTATATTATTCCGAATAAAAAAACAGACAAAAATTCGTGGAACTTGTGAAGTGTCGATACATGGCGGAAAGTAAAGAACGCCGTGCTCGATACCACCAATCACAGACTGTGATTCAGTCAGCTGACTACTGTGAGATCAGCTGACTTTAGTGGCAGGCTGCGATTGCTTGATCATTTGTAACCGTCCATGTTTTTCAACGGTGTACTACCGCGGTGGCGTTCATTCTGTTATTCGGTTAAATTAAGTTACTTAATAACTGTTGTGCAAATCTACAATTAAGTGCAGTAACTGCGGATCAATAGGTAGGTTTTACATAATTATTAAATCATTCTTAATTTATTTACCTATACCTATACTAGGTGTTTAAAAGATGTACGCCGTAGTTGAGTTTGCACACGACGGTGACGGGGGAATTTCCGCTATCAATACAAAGTGGCTAACTCCTCGCAAAAAAGAAGTTTACTGGCCACCTTATAAACAACAGTGCAAATACGACAAGGTGCTTTATCACGCATGATAGCTCGAGCTATACATAATGTTCGATTTATGGGATAGGTCTACTCTATTAAGTTTATTTATTTATTTATTTATATTTTATAATATATGACATTTATAATATATTTCCTTGTTTTATTTATTACAATAAATGACAAATCTTGTACGTCTTTAAGACGTCAGTACTTACGTCATATAGACGTCTTAAAATGACGTTATTTGTACGTCCTAATATGACGTCAACGGTCTGTGACATTTGCCCGTTTCAAAGACGTGATTTTGACGTGATGTTAAGGGTGAATATGACGTAACTTGTGACCAAAAAATGCCGTGATTATGACGTCACCATGTTTGCTGGGATTCTAAAAGTGTTTTTCACAACATAATAGTCTAAAATATTCACTGGCTAAAAATATATAAAATGTTCTAAAACTGTCTTAAATATTCTAAAACTGTTTTATAACTGTCTGCAAATGTTCTAAAACTGTAAAAGAAGTGTTTAACTGTCTACATTTTTATAAAGTATTTTAAAGCTGTCTCAGAACTTTCTAAAACTGCCTACAATATCCTTAAACTGTTTTGTAACTGTCTAAAAATGATCTAAAACTGTTTTATAAATAGTTCATATTTACTATACAAATTTTCTAAAACTGTAAAAACAGTTTAAAAGTAAAACGTGTATAAAAATGATTTAAAATTGCCTAAAATATTCTAAAACTATCTAAAAATGTCTTAAAACTGTCTAAATTATTCTACAACTGTCTTAAATATCCTAAAAAAGTTCTAGAATTGTAAAAATTGTTTTTAAATTTAAAACATATTAATTGTCATAAGTTGGCCTAAAACTATCCCAGAACATTCTAAAAGTGTTTTATATATAAATGTCTAAATGTTCTAAAACTGTCTAAAATATTCTAAAACTGTTTTAGAACTGTCTAGAAATGTTCTAAAATTGTAAAGTGTTTTACTGTACATTTTCATAAAGTATTTTAAAGCTGTCCCAGAACTTTTTAAAACTGCCTACAATATCCTTAAACTGTTTGCAAATGTTGAAAAAATGATCTAAAAGTGTTTTATGAATAGTTCATATTTACTATACAAATCTAATACAATACAAACTAAAAACAGTTTAAAAGTAAAACGTCTTAAAGTGTATAAAAATGTTTTAAAATTGACTAAAATATTCTAAAACTTTTTAAAAATGTCTTAGAATTGTCTAAATTGTCTTTAATTTAGAACATTTTAATTGTCATAAGTTGGCCTAAAACTAGTTTTAGCTATCAGAACATTCTAAAAGCATTGAGTAAAGTGTGTCTTTACTCAATGCTAAAAGTGTTTTATAAATATAATTATCTAAATACTGTATACAATGTCTAAAATATTCTAAAACGGTTTTATAAAACCGTTTTAGAATATTTTAGTTCTATAGAACTGTCTACATTTTTAAGCTGTCTCAGAACTTTTTAAAATTGCCTGCAATATCCTTAAACTATTTTGTAACTGTCTAAAAATGACCTAAAACTGTTTTATAAATGGTTTAAATTTACTGTACAAATTTTCTAAAACTGTAAAAACAGTTTAAAAGTAAAACGTCTTAATGTGTATAGGTAAATATGTTTAAAAATTGCCTAAAATATTCTAAAACTTTCTGAAAATGTCTTAAAACTTTCTAAATTATCCCACAACTGTCTTAAATACCCTAAAAAGGTTATAGAATTGTAAAAATATTAATTAATTAATATATATATTAATTAATTAATTGTTATAAGTTGGCCTAAAACTATCTCAGAACATTCTAAAAGTGTTTTATTAATATAATTATCTAAATAATGTATCCAATGTTCTAAAACTGTCTAAAATATTCTAAAACTGTTTAAGAACTGTCTAGAAATGTTCTAAAACTGTAATAGAAGTATTTTAAAGCTGTCTCAGAACTTTCTAAAACTGCCTACAATGTCCTTAAACTGTTTTGTAACTGTCTAAAAATGATCTAAAACTTATGAATACCATACAAATCTTCTAAAACTATAAAAACAGTTTTAAATTGAAAAGTGTTAAAAATGTTTTAAAACTTTCTAAAATATTGTTAAACTTAAAATGACTTAAAACCGTCTAAAATATTCCTAAACTGTTATATAAGTTCTAAATTAGAACTGTCCAAAAATGTTCCAAAACTGTAATATTAAAACTCTCAATCAGTCGGAATTAAAAATATCACATTCAATTAAAAATATCTGCTTAAGTATTTAATAAAATAAAAATTAAATTAAATTAAAAATATCTTATATTATATTTTAAAAAATACATTTAAAAATATTTCCCATGATATTTTTAATTTAGCGAATTAAAAATGTACCTATTTAACAAAAAAAATACAAATATAAGAAATATCTAGATATTCACTAAATTAAAAATATCAGTTTGGCATGCTAAATATAATTTTAAAATATCTGCTATGATATTATTAATTCGCAGGATAATAGTTATTTACGTGTCAAGCTTTGTAAATTAATCTTTACAGGCGAGCTGGAAGTTTGTGGGGTGAGCGACGCTGGAGCGAACCCATAATCCAGTGAGCCTAGTAAAGATTAATTGCAAAGCGTGACACGTACAAACTTTTTTTTATTTTTTTTTTTTTAGATAACAATTTTCAAATTTAAAATTTCAATTAATGTGTCAAATGTGACATTTCATTTCATAAATTGCTTTTTTACAAGCCTGTAAAACTTTACAGGTCTTTTATACAAGCCCGTAAAATATTACAGGTTTGTTCCTATAATGTATCGTTTACTTGGATGCAAAAACAACAAAATTAACCTATAAAATGTCATTTACTAAGAAGGTGGAAATAAAAATTCTTTTGTATGGTCTAAGGAATAGGTAGACAATAAAGTTGAATAAACAATCGTATGGTCTAAGGTTAAAATCAACATAATGTCTAGAGTCCCGTCAGACGGGTCTCCATTGCGCTCCCGTTAAAACTTTGTGACGTCACACACTGTAAATAGGTATTATTTTTCGAGCGATAGAATTATTACAATAAGCTCGGTAACTCGATGGAAGGGCGCCTGCTTTGCCCAAATTTTTTAAGAGGGTTTTTTCAATTATTTTTCCCTCAAAATCATTCTTTTAACTTTTTTAACATCACCATTCTTTTTTCCGTAAATTTTTCTAGACTTCATTCTTCTACCCGGATCAAGCTGGCCTCACATTCGCTCTGCGAGAAAAGGCCAGACAAGCTCCATGCTAATAAAAAGGGCTAATACAAGGGACAAAGACCGTCGGAAGACTGCGCTGCTACCACCCGTACCACGCATCTTCACCGCAGGGAGGCTCAAGAGTTGGAACCACACTTCCACGCGCCTCTTTACAGCCAAACACATCACCACATTGCGGCCTTTTATTATATACCTTTTTATGACTTGTAATTATTTTAATTTAAAAATATATTGATTTTGATTTTGATTTGCGCCTGCTTTGCATGCGAGAGGTACGGGGTTCGATACTTCGCGCCTCTACAACTTTTTTTAATTTTTTTTTAAAGAATTTATATACCGAAATAATACAATGTGGCATTAAAAGCATTTATATTTAATTTTACATTAATATTTTAATTTATTTACCTTTCCTCATAATCATTTTGCTAGTTATATAATATAAAATGTAATTAAATGAATAGGTATTCCTTCGTTGAAAAATTTTTACTCAATGGGGCGGGGGGGCCAATGGGGCGGGGTCGGTTGGGTTGGGTTGTTGGGTTTGGGTTGGTTTTGAAGCGGGCGGACTCGGGACGTTGGTTAAGGAAGATCTGCTTCCCGTCCTAAGATTGCGTCATTTGATGACGTCACTCTGTTAACGGGAGCGCAATAGAGAACCGTCTGAACAAGCGGCTACGTAAAGCTCACGGGAGGATTTCAGTGTTGCCACCTATAACTTTTTTTTCGTAATAGACGCATGCGTCAAAATGTAATAGATTTGGGATTTAAGGTAATAGACTATTTTGAATCAAATTTATTTGATTCTTTGTCGTTTTACCGTTGTCATTAGAATAAAATTGAATTTTTACATGATGCTTTATAATCTGTGCATGATGCTTGTGGTATTTTAATATAAAGTGACCAGATTCTGTCAAAAAAATCGGGACATTTTGTGCAAATTAATCTTTACTACAAAAATGACACAATCAATTAAGTAACGTCAAATTTACATTTGCATTGTATAATTGTGTCAATTTTGTAATTAAGGTAAATTCATACAAAATGTCCCTTTATTTTTTGACAGAATCTGGTCACTTTAGTTTAAATTTAAGCACACAACAAACGTCAAACACTCAAGCAGTGTTGCCAGACGTACGATAAATTTCCATAGAAAGAATAATTATCCTTTTTGTAGGATAATAATTATACGTACGTACAATGTACGAAATCACATGTAAGATAAAATTAAAATGTACAATAATTTCATGTAAATCAAATTGCACAAGGGAATAAAACTACCCAATATTAACAAAATCTTAAATTTTGGATAAACAATAAGTTTATTTAAATGAACTCTTTATTTTTTATTTTTTTTTTCATAATAAATTTAAAATATATAACAAGATTTAAAACACTATTAGAAAAACCAAGAAAAATTTAATTCTACAATAGTTTTGATGCGCTGCGACAATAATCATTTGTGGGCTGTCTGGCAAGTTGCCAGTGGCAACAATAGGACCACAATAGTATATTAAAAAAAATGTCCTACTAGGAAAGAAAAAAGTAATAGATTTACATTGTTTCGTAATAGGGTAATATATTTTTGCTAAAAGTAACAGATCTATTACTTAAGTAATAGGGGTGGCAACACTGGAGGATTTGGTTCTCCCGAAAGATACCGCTGCTACCCGAAATTTACCGATGCGATTATTTTACGATTGTATTATATTATGATAATATACATTCTATATTTTAATTTCCTATTTCAATTATACCTAGTTTTAAACTTTGATTGACTATTCAATCCATGTTTAAACTAAAAAAAACATTTTTTGGTGAAGAAATTACATTGTTCTTTGTCAAGGATTTTGTAAAATCCTTGTTTCTTTGTGCTAAAAATATGATGTTATAAAACTTAATATGTATTTTATAGAATATTTAAATACATTAAATTGGTAAGACCTATAGTTAGTGCTTATGCAAGTACAGTACAGTACCTAAGCAAGTACAGTATTTAGTAATTACTATATTTTAAAATAAATAATTTAAAATACAATAAAATATATTTAAAAAAATACATACCGTCGGCAATTTTACAATGTGGCGTAGGTACTATATAAAGATTTGTTTTATGCTAAAAAACAATTTTATGGAATGAACGTTTAGTAGGTATTTTAAACGTTTATTTCGGAAAATTAATTTTTGTATAACACAAATCTTAATACTTCGCAAAATTGCCTACGATATTTAGTAAGTTTTAATTTATTTTATAGAAATTATAAAATCATTTTTTAGAATACCTAAATAACCATGTCATTTATACTGTAAGGACATCTATGCCTACATAATTAAAGTTTAATGTGTCATTCCCAAATCAGTTCGAGGCATTTATGATCTGTCACAATAAGCTTGAGTGAGGATTAGTGCCAACTAACTAATTAATTTTATTAACTTTTAAAAAAGTTAAAAAACTGTGTTTAAATAGGTAAGTTAATATAATAGAAAATAATTTAAATATTTGCACTTATTGGTGACTTTGGGACCTAACTTTGGGGGAGAGTCAATAGTACCCCAAAAAATAAAATGGGGCCCCTAGTCTGCTTATGAAATAATTGTTTTGTAAATATTAATGTTTTAAATTTGTTAGTAGATCCTCTTAGCAGGTCCTTTGCAACACTCTTAATGTAATCAGGGATATGAAAATTGATTACAAGCTTTTTCCAGCGAACTTATAAGTATACTTATATTTGAACTTGTTAATAATTTAAAATTTAAAAATTAAGGGGCCCACTCATGGCAGTCTAAGATTAACCATTATTTAATGTAATTATAACCTTTTTCTAATTTCTGATGGGTTGCAGCTAGGGGCTCCCGAGACCAAAATATTAAAAATCTTTTTTAGTTTTAACTTTATATTTTATTTTTTTTCATAGTATGTTATTCTTTGGAAACTTGAAATCTCCAGGGTATTTTTTTTTAATCAGTTTGTATTTTATGGTAAAGCTGGGACCTGAAATATTTATACCCATACCAGGGTTTTAAATTTTGAAAAAAAAAACAGGCCTTAAAAAATGTCTTTTTTGGGAAAAATTGATTTTTTTTTTGAAAAATATATGCATTAAAAAAAATAAAACCAAACATTGAATTAAATTAAATTGATTTAAGAAAATTATATTATGATTATATTCAGCGTCGGATATTCACTTTTTCTCGATATCAGTGTACGGTTAGGACCTACATATCTGTAAAAACTTCGTATTACTCTTTGAATAAAAATGAGAAAAATGCAAATCAATTTTGCTGAAAATTTCCCAATTTTTTTTCCGGAAATAACGGTTTTTTTTCGTCGGTTCAATTTTTCCGAAAATTTTAAAACTCTAAATTTTATATAGTTTTTTGTTGGACTGAGGAAGGCCACTTAAGATTTGGGGGCCCTTCTGAACCGGGGGCCCGAGACGGATCGACCCCACCGCCCCCCCTTAGTCGGCCACTGGTTCTTAATGTATATGCTATACAGTATAGTCAGGGCCGTGTCGCCCATATGAGCGATTGTGCGAGCGCCACGGCCAAGTTTAGAGACTCAAAAGCATACAGAACAAAGAAAAGACAATGAAAATGCTGAACAGCTAGAATTAGTTATTAATTCAAAAGAAGTAGAATCTGAAACATTTTTAAATTGTCTTAAAACTACGCAGCCTAGCACATCAACTTTCCAAAATTTTAAACAAACAAAAGAACAATATTTAAAAAAAATTAAGGATTTTACTGAACATGTTAAAAGTATTCAAACACCAGAAGAACTAAACGCAATACAAAAATTATATTCCTTTGACTTTGATAAAGAATACCCCTTATTTCCAGAAAAAAACAAAGAACCTGCAGGCAAACAAAAAAAATAACACCACAAAGGCTTTTTAAAACCAAGAGGGAAGTACAAAAAACTTTCTCAAAAATGGCAAAGCCATCAGATGAGGAAGCGGAGAAAATATATCTTAGACTAATACACAATTAGTCTATAATTTAATGTTTTTTTTTAAATAAATACATAATTATTATTGTGCATTTTTATTTCTATTAAACATTATTTAATTATCAATTACCTGTTAATTAATTTTAATTTTATTAATAATATTATTATAATAATATTATTACAGAAAACATTTAATTTTCAGCAAATATCTCTTGGATTATATTATTTTTATTGTATTGATTATAATTATTTACTTTTGCTCTATAATTTAACGTATAATTATATTATATAACAATCACATAATTAATTATTATTATTAAACAAAAATATGTAATTGAATTAATAATATTAATATTATTATTAATTATTTACTTTTGTATTTTTTTTTGTCAATTCTTGTTCATTGTGGCAACAGCGCATCAGTCTAAACTTGACAACAAGTTTGGAACCAAATCCTCCCGTGAGCTTCACCTAGCCGCTTGTACCGTCTGACGGGACTCTAGACGCGGCGTAAAATCAACTCGAAAATAGTTGGGTTAGGATATTTTGACAGTTCTCTGTGATGGCTTTAGACGTTTCGATGCATTTGGCGTGAAAAAAGAAACAACCCGGCAAAATCAAGATGACGTCGGGGGGGCCAAAAGACCCAGACCTCGATCTAAGAATCACTCCGGCGCAACAAGCTGCAGCTTCCTGCACGGGAGCGCTCATAACCTCACTTTTCGGTGAGCACGAGAAAACGCTGTTTTAAGCCTTAATTTTACGTATTTCGCGTGCGAGAATTACTGAGCGTTGTGATTTCAGTTACGCCTCTGGATGTCGTGAAGATCCGCCTGCAGTTGCAGCAAAAATCAGTGACAAATTGCTTTTTATACTGCAACGGACTCATGGATCATATTTGTGGCTGTCCTAGCAGCTCCATGCAAAAAGAGTGGTTTCAAAGGCCTAGTCATTTCACAGGAACAATAGTTAAATCACAAAAACCCCAAATTAACCCTACAACTAACCACACAATACATTTTAGGACGCTTTTGTCAAAATCAGTCGAAACGAGGGGTTAACCTCACTTTGGAGCGGATTGGGCCCCACTTTAGTGCTCGCCATACCAGCGACAATAGTGTATTTCGTCTCCTACGAACAATTAAGAATAAAATTTAATGATAAATACAACCCAGCTAATGTTAAAGGTTATCGGGAGAAACAGCCGTTCTGGATACCTTTAGTTTCAGGGGCTTCAGCCAGGGTCCTATCTGCCACAATGGTGAGCCCTTTGGAGTTAATTAGAACTAAAATGCAAAGTCAGCGGCTAAATTATTTTGGTATGCATGTTTTTATAATTAATACTTTTTACTTGAAATACTTAAATAATTGTACTTTTTAATGTTTTATTATCTCTTTTTTTTAATATTTTTTAGTAATTTTAGATTTTTAGTACTTTTTGAATAAAATAAAATTGTTTTTTTTTTAATTGGCCTAGTAAGGAAGATAATTGCAACCTGTTGAGTTTTTAGAGGTGGGAGAGGCCCTAAAATCCTTGATAAAACAAGATGGCCCGAAAGGGTTGTGGAAAGGCTTGCTGCCAACGTTATTAAGGGACGTGCCTTTTTCTGCATTGTATTGGTACAGCTACGAAGGCATAAAATCGATTTTTACAGACGAACACCCCTCTTTCATGTTGAGTTTTTTCGCTGGATTCGTATCGGGGAGTGTAAGTTCATTTTATTTTGTTAAATTTTGTATTGAATATTTTTATTTTTTATTACAGGTAGCGGCTGCAGTGACTGTACCTTTTGACGTTGTAAAAACACACCAACAAATTGAGTTTGGTACTAGTACCATAACTGGAGGTTAGTAAAATTCGTATTTAATTTTTTTCGTTCTAAAACTTTTTAAAAATGTTTTAAAACTGTCTTAAATATCCTAAAAATATTTTAGAATTGTTTAAATTGTCTTTAAATTAAAAAAATAATTGTCAAATTCATCAAAAAACTTTATCAGCTAAAACTATCTCTAAACATTCTAAAAGTGCTTTATAAATATAATTGTCTAAATACTGTATACAATATTCTAAAACTGTTTTAGAACTGTCTAGAAATGTTCTAAAACTGTAATAGAAGTGTTTAACTGTCTACATTTTTATAAAGTATTCTAAAGCTATCTCAGAACTTTGTAAAACTGCCTAAAAAACTGTCTTGTAACTGTCTAAAAATGATCTAAAACTGTTGTATGAATGGTTCATATTTACTATACAAATATCTTAAAACTATAAAAACAGTTTAAAAGTAAAAATGTTTTAAAACTGTTTAAATTATTCTACAACTGTCTTAAATATACTAAAAATGTGAGTTGGCTAAATTGTCTTTAATTTAGAACATATTAATTGTCATAAGTTGGCCTAAAACTATCTCAAAACATTCTAAAAGTGTTTTATAAATATAATTGTCTAAATACTGTATACAATGTTTTAAAACGGTCTAAAATATTCTAAAACTGTTTTAGAACTGTCAAAAAAGGATCTAAAACTGCAATTGAAGTGTTTAACATTTTTATAAAGTAATTTAAAGCTACCTCTGAACTTTCTAAAACTGCCTTCAATGTCCTTCAAACTGTTTTGTAACTGTCTAAAAATGATCTAAAACTGTTTTATGAATGGTTTATATTTACCATACAAATCTTCTAAAAGTATAAAAACAGTTTAAAATTAAAAAGTCTTAAAGTGTATAAAAATGTTTTAAAACTTTCTAAAATATTCTAAAACTTGCGTTTTATAAATATAATTGTCTAAATACTGTATACAATGTTCTTAAACTGTAATAGAAGTGTTTAACTGGCTACATTTTTATAAGGTTTTTTAAAGCTGTCTCATAACTTTCTAAAACTGCCTACTTAGTCCTTCAAACTGTTTTTTAACTGTTTAAAAATGATTTAAAAAATGTTTTATGAATGGTTCATATTTACTATAAAAATCTCCTAAAACTGTAAAAGCAGTTTAAAAGTTAAACGTCTTAAAGTGTATAAAAATGTTTTAAAACTTCCTAAAATATTCTAAAACTTTCTGAAAATGTCTTAAAACTGTTTAAATTATTCTACAACTGTCTTAAATATACTAAAAATGTGAGTTGTCTAAATTGTCTTTAATTTAGAACTTATTAATTGTCATAAGTTGGCCTAAAACTATCTCAGAACATTTTAAAAGTGTTTTATAAATATAATTAATTGTCTAAATACTGTATACAATGTTCTAAAACTGTCTAAAATATTCTAAAACTGTAACAGAAGTGTTTAACTATCTACATTTTAAATTAAATTCTCTTTAGAGCCAATCAGAACGCGAACCACGGCCCAAGTGATCAAGGACATATACAGGCAACAAGGAGCAAGAGGGCTGTTCGCGGGAATAGTGCCGCGCCTGATCAAGGTGGCGCCCGCATGCGCAATCATGATATCGTCGTTCGAATACGGAAAGGTATTTTTCAACAGGTTAGCAGCAAAAAAGGAGCAAAACGCGGCAACGTCGCAACCGACTGCGCCATCTAGCGTCGGTAATGTCAGTCACGTGGTCGATAAGGGAGTTTATAGCGGGAAGAACGAGGTTTTATAGAGGTTAGGTTTTTTAAAGGGCCGCCACTATTACAATAAAAATTTTAAAACATAATTTCCTTAATTATTTTATAAAAAGCCTTTGGGGGTTTGTATGTATTTTTTTAAATCAGTTTTTATAGTTAAAAATATATTTTTGTACCTGATATTTAGTTACCTAATTTCTGAAAAATAAGCAACTTTTTCTATAAACAATAGATTACAATTATTTTGTTCATGTTATTAGGCTCCAAAAAGGTTAACACTGACCAGTAGGTATAATATAAAAAAAATTAAATATTTTTTAGAGAAAAAGATCCTGCAAATGAAGTTCAAGAAAAAAGTGATTATTGTCATTATTATGATTATAACGACGATTTTTTCACTGTCATTATCAAATACCCTGTAGGTCATACGTAAAAGACGTAGCTAGTTCCTATAATATAAATATATTGTTATTTTTAGTTATTATTATTTTTATTGTTAAAATTTTTTTAAATAAAACTTTTACAATAAAATTTTACCAAAAAACGTGTTTTATTTTTGTTTGTAAAGTATTAAGAGCCCAAGGAGGGTTTTTAACTGCAATTTTTACTTGAAATACTGAAAAATAACCCTTAAACCCTCTAAGAATGTTTTTTAAACCTTCCAGTGAGAATATTCTTAGGATCATGCTATATTTCTTCTAAAGAACATGTTTAAAAGAAATATAGCATAATCCTAAGAATATTCTCACTGGCCTACAGGGCCGGGCCTAAGGGGGGTGTAGGGGGGGAGTCACCCCCCCCCCAAAGTCTGGACAGTTGGTTCCAAATCCAAACACGGTTGGCAAAATTTATAGTATTTGGGTCGGTTGGTTGGGTATACCTACCCTACCAACCAACCCATCACAATAAATAAAATGAAATATAATTTTTAAACTTTACCTACATATTACAAAATTATAATTTTTAATCTATTGTAACCTCCTATAATCGTTACCGTCAAGAAAATTGTATTGGTCAACCTTATTTTTATTAAAGGACATTATATTTCACACAAGCGGCATGTACAAAGTCGGCACCGCCTCGCGGCTTTGTCTTTCTAAATTATTAATTAGCTAAGTAAAACTAGTGTCAATAAATAGGAATTAATTTTTTTTTAATATGGAAAAGAAAGCTAGACCGGGCCGAGTTCTAGTAAAATGCTCATTATGTGGATCTGTGTTTAACAAGGACTAGAAAAAAATGCACGAGGAAAATATTCACGGTGGAAATTTGGTTAAAATTAAAATTGTTACTGTTCCGGATAATCCACTTACATTGGTAGCAAATAAAAAAAATAGAGACTTCAAAAGAGCATGCTAATGGTAGGTAAAGACATTCTTTATCTACACTTTACAACACTTTACATTCATGATAAAACCAGAGATAAAGAAGATAAAACTACTGAAAATTTTTACTATTACTACCTACTAAAGTATCGATAAAAAAATAAGTTGGTTTTTTTATCGTCTCCACCCCCCCCCAAAAAATTGTGCCTCGGTACGCCCCTGCTGGCCTATAGGCAGGTTCTTAGAAAGTGCAAAGTTTAGTGGTAAAAATTAATCCACTCTAAACATATGCTTAGAATGTTGAGAAAGTAATTGCTATAGAAAGTTCATTTAGGAATATTCCTGGAACATTCTGTTAAGCATATTCAGTTCAGTTAGGTAGTAAAAAACACAACCCAAAATATTTTTTTATAGTTATTTTTTTTCTAAAAATCAAATTTATACCTAAACGCAAAATTAAAAAAACTCAATTTGTCTTTCAGCACCGTTTTTTTTAAATTTTCGTCATTTATTTATGAAAACCATGGCCCTGGCAGCAGAAACACTCTTGGTACGGCCCTGGTCTTCTTGGAGCATTTCCACATTTAAATATATTTAAATATAAGTTTACTTATAAGTAAACTTATATTATTTCGTTTAGAGTCCCTATATTATAGGTACCTATTTGATACTAATTTATCATTTAATACCCTTGTTACATTTAAATACAAAATTTCTTGCCATAGAGGTATTTAAACATTAAAAAAATATATAAAAATCACTTACAATTCGTTGCCAGTTCTCCTATTAAACCAGTCCCTTTCTGAACCTACCTAAACCATTAAAAAAAACGCATAAAAATCCCACCTACGTTACAAAAACAAGAATTTTACCTTTAATGCCCTTTTCCTGTTGCCTTGTCGTTTACAAATCATGCCCAAAAACAGTAGAAACTACAAAACTTCACACGATAAATCGAATTTCCACAAACATGACGCCCAAAACAAACTAAACTTGTTGATAACTGTCAATTTCAAAACAATAAACGATCGCACGTCATGCGCATTGCAGTGCGTACTAATCATGGCAACAGTTACTGCTATTGTTTACAATTACAATTAAGATGTCTTTTTTGGTAGTGTACATTAAAATTTAAAATGTTGCCGTGTTCTATAAAAATGAGTGAATGGTTTAATGTATTGTCGTAATAAATAGGAGTTTTTCAAATTTTAGGTAGGTATTAGTTATTTGTGTTGAAAAGCGACTTTTTCATGCGAGTTTTTAAGTTGCCCACGTTAGGCCGAGTGTGCATAAACACGAGCTTGAAGAAAGCTTTTCTCACAAGTATAACACAATGTTTTTTCTGCGACCCTTTTATTTTTTACTGCTATTGTTTACAATTACAATTAAGATGTCTTTTTTGGTAGTGTACATTAAAATTTAAAATGTTGCCGTGTTCTATAAAAATGAGTGAATGGTTTAATGTATTGTCGTAATAAATAGGAGTTTTTCAAATTTTAGGTAGGTATTAGTTATTTGTGTTGAAAAGCAACTTTTTCATGCGAGTTTTTAAGTTGCCCACGTGCCACAGGCCGAGTGTGCATAAACACGAGCTTGAAAAAAGCTTTTCTCACAAGTATAACACAATGTTTTTTCTGCGACCCTTTTATTTTTTATTATTTTTAAATACAAAACAAAATAACCTAAAAACTTTTTTGACAGCTGAATGTCAAACGATGCTTTCCGGTTCTTTTCACACAGACCTGTCACTTTTCACACAGAAATGTCACTTTACATTCGTGTTTTGCCTTGCCAATGAAAAGATTTATTTTTTAAGCAAGGATGCCATCATGAAAAGTGACTTTTACATAGTGGTCGTAGAAAAAAATTTATATATACGCCCATACTCGCCATGGGCCATTATTGTACATGTTTCCATGACAACATACTGAAGTTAGTTTTAAGTTAGTTGACAGTTGTGAAAAGTCATACAATCGTTAAAATAAAGTGCCTTAATTTATAAAATATATTGGCTTTTAATAGTATATTATGTAGGTATCAAGTTTGATAAACGCCATTTTATACACGAATTTAATTAAAATTAAAAATTAATGAGTGTATAGAAAAGTTTATAAACGAGGTGCATAGGTACTATACTTTTTCTACGACAAATACTTATTATCTTAAAATGATTTAAATCAATTATTTTTATAGAGCGCCATCTATGAAACAATATTTGAATCTGTGTGTCACCGTCAAATGTCAAATTTTTTAATTTTATAAACACAGATTATAAAGGTTGTAAATCGAAATGTATTTCTTGAAAACTGACAGTTTTTTACAGTGAAAGTAAAGAAAATGTTTTATGAGCACTTTACAGTGGAGTCTGTGCCCGAATTTAAGTTATAGTTTACTGCCGGCGAAATTAAAATAATATAAACTTTTCAAATATTGGCGTTGAGAAACTATTTAATACTTTTGTATTTTTGTATTGAGATAATAAAATAATTTTCACATTTAGTATTATTTTACAAGAAAGGCATGTTATTTTAACGTTTGTATGACATTTGACAACTGTCAACTAACTTAAAACTAACTTCAGCCCGTGACTAAAACGCCGTAAAGCCACAACTTGTCAATGTGTATTTAAAATGTCACTTGGTGTCATGGAAACATGTACGATAATGGTCGTTTTAAAGGTGGGAGTGGAAAAATTATAAAACATTGGTTTTTATATATTTTTATATTAGATTTAATTTAATAAACGATACACAAAAGGCACTTAAAATTATAACAACAAACATTGAAAGTTTAAAGTGAGGTTTTTGCATAAATTTTGCAATTAAAAAAAATATATAGATCCATGTCATATATACTCTTTTCCGCACCACCCGAGAGGTAGAGTATCGGGCGCGTTTTTTTTACGGTGGTATCCCCTATAGGCCTAATCCACACCCAAACTTGTCATTTCAGCGCCACAGTGCGAATTTGGCGAACTAAAAGAGTCGAAAGACAAAGCACACAACGGCAAGGGGGAAAACATGGAGAGACTCTTCAAAAGAAAAGATGAGGGTTAAGTTTTTGAAGTGACCACAAGGGACACGGCTGAAGTGATGGTGCTGTAAGAATTGTACAGGGTGGATGAGGAAGCTCAGAAGAACTTCTTAAAAGAGGTAAGAAAAGAAGCCGAACATTTTAAGATTTGTTTTCGGTCCTATTGCGTAGTATATCAAAAAAAAATAAAAAATAATGAACTGATCTTAAAAAAAGAAAGTTCCATCTCCAACTTAAATAATCTAATAACAATTTGACTAACCAAAACGAACTAAAAGAAGTAATCTTTAAAAAAAGAATAAGTTCCATCTCCAACATAAACAAAATTTAGCCTAAAGAACCTTTCTTTAAAAATGGATCAAACAATCTATAAAAATTAATTAACCAATCAAAGCACGCCATTCTCCATAGCACCTAGTGTGTCTGTTTCCGTCTCTGTTTCTATTTCTTTTTCTGTATCTTGTATCTGTCTTTGTTTCTGTATCATTGTATCTGTTTTCGTATCACTGTTTCTATCTCTGTTTCTCGTATCTGTTTCCGTTTCTGTTTCCCCTGTCTGTTTCTGTTTTCGTTTCCGCTTATGTTTCTACACTAAAGTACTGTGAAGAACGCCGTGCTATGATTGGTTTAATACTTTCTATAGAGATCATCAAAACGAACTAAAATAACTGAATAACTTAAAGAATCTAATAACAATTTGACTTACGACCCCTAACATAAACAAAGTAACAGAACTAATCTTTAAATAAAGAATAAGTTCCATCCTCAACTTTAAACAAGATTTGACCTGACAAAAAGAATCTAAAAAAGTTTTGACCTACGTTCCCTACAAAAACGATGTAAAGGAACTAATCTTTAAACAAACAAGTTCCATCTCCAGCTTAAAAAAGATTTTCTTTTTTTACTAAAACAACTGATCTTTAAAAAAAGAATAAGTTTCATCTCCAACTTAAAGAATTTAATAGCAATTTGACTTACGACCCCTAACATAAACGTAGTAAATGAACTAATCTTTAAACAAGACTTGAACTGACAAGAAGAATCTAAAAAAGTTTTGACCTACGTTCCCTACAAAAACGAAGTAAAAGAACTAATCTTTAAATAAAGAATAAGTTCCATCTCCAATTTTACAAGACTTAAATTGACAAAAAGAATCTAAAAAAGTTTTGACCTACGT